CTTACTTATAAATATAAAAACCTTTAATAATTCCTTAGAAAATAAAAGAAATTAATTACTAAGTATAATTTAAAATATTAAATATTATTTTATTATCTAAAGCTTTAATATTAATATTATATTATTTAATATAATAAAATAATTTTATAGTAATTTAAGATAATTTTATAATTAATTATAATTGTTTATATATAAATAATAAATAATAAAAGGAAATAATAAAATAATAATAATAATTACTAAATTAAATTAATTATAAAAGTAAATTATTAATTAAAGTAAAATTAATAAATTTAAAAAAGAAAAATAATAATATAATAATATAATAAATAAAAAAAATAATTACTAAAAGGCTTTATATACCTAAGAGAATTAAAAAAATATTAAATAAGATTATTATTAGTTAAAAACTTAACTTAATTTTATATTAAATATATAATAAAAGAAAATAATAATAATAATAATAAAATACTTAAAAAATTTTTAATAATAAATTATAATAATAAATAATTTATTTTTTTATATTTAAAAGAAATTGATATATTATAAATATAATTAAATTTATATAATATAATTATATATTTTTATTTACTTAGTTATTAAACTAAAAGCTAAGTATAATTTTTTATTATATTAGGTATTATAAGTTTTTTAAACTTATATAATTATATTAAAAATAAATTTTAATATAATATAATTATAATATTTTATTAATTAAAATATAAGTAAATAAATAATTTATTTATAAAAAAATATTATTTATTATATTATTTAAAATAATTATTATAATAATATAATTAATAAAAGAAAAATTCCTTTTAAATATAAAAAAATAAATTATTTATTATTATAACTTATTATTAAACTTTTTTTTAGTATTTTATTATTATTATTATTTCCTTTTATTATATATTTATTTTATTTAATATTTTTTTAATTTTTTTTTAAATATATAAGGCCCTTTAGTATTACTTTTTTTACTTTTTTACTTATTATATTATTACTTTTCTTTTTTAAATTTATTAATTTTAGCCTAGTTAATAGTTTACTTTTATAACTAGTTTAATTTAATAATTATTACTATTTCTTTATTATTTCCCTTTACTATTTATTATTTATATATAAAAAATTATAATTAGCTATAAGATTATTTTACTATTATAAGATTACCTTATTATATTATAAGTAATACTAATTTTAATATCTTAAGTAAAATATATTACTTTTTTTATAAAGTTAACCTTTTAAAAAAAAGAAATAATATAAAACTTTTCTTTATTAATATTAAAGTCTTATATATTATAATAGTACTTAGTGGTTAATTTCTTTTATTTTCTAAGGAATTATTAATACTTTTTATATTTACTAGCTTTTATATAAGTAGTTTTTTAATTACTTTAGTATTATATTAAGTTATTAGTAAAAAACTTTATTTCTAATATAAAAACCTTATTTTAAATCTTATAAGTAATTTTAATAAACTAATATTATTAGTATTATTAAATTTAATAAAGCTAAATATAATTTTTGTATTTTTTTTTAAAATATTTTTATTTACCTAGTTATTAAACTAAGAGCTAAGTATAGTTTTTTATTATACTAGCTATTATAAGTTTTTTAAACTTATATAATTATATTAAAAATAAATTTTAATTTTAATAAAAAAAATAAAATAAAAAATAAAAATAAATTAATTATAATTTTACTAATTTAATATTAATAAATTAAATAACATAAAAAATTAAATTAAAAATATATAAAAAATATATAATTATTATTATTTAATAAAATAATAAATAATAAAAAAAAGTAATATTTTTTTTAAGTTTTATAAAAATCAATTAAATTTATAAATATTAATTAAAATAATATAAATATTTTTAATATATAATTAAATTATATTTTAATATTTTATTCCTTGTACTTTACAAGATTAACCTAAGATCTAGGAACTAAATTATTATATATTTTAAATATAAAAATAATTTAATATTTTTATTTACTAATATATAAACAATTATATAATTATTAACTATAGTTATTAGTATATTAAGAAAAAAGTATATAATAGAATTATCTTACCTCAATTAACCTCTCGGTTAAATTAAAACATGCTTGTCGAATATCTTCCCTTAGATCCTGGGAAGAGAATCGTGATAATCCTGCAAACCCCATATTATGCAGTTTATCTATCAGTATATCCGTGGAGGCCATCTTGTCCTGGAAACTTATCTTCGATGATATTGTTCGCAGTAAGGTATTCGCAGCCTTAAGAGCACTACTATCCTGGCTATGCAATAGTACATCCTCAATCAACGGTGGTAATGCACCACATCTACATAAAGTCAGTCAAAGGACGCAACTTACTCCAATGAACCATCGAATGGGCACTTACAACTGTTCAAACACCAAAGGTCGCTGCAAAGCTATATCGTTAAGCCATTGCAAGCTCCGGACTTGAACTCGCTCCTCAAGATACTGAAAGTCAACTAATTCAATAGCAGAGATGAGCAGTAAATCTTCATCTCTTACACTCTCCATCTTCAGGCGGCTGTTAAAGGCAGTTGTATCACCGACGCCTTCTGCGTTGATCCCAGCTATCCAAAGGCCGTCTCTATAGTCTTCATGCAACACGCCCCTTGCCGAAATAAGGGCAAGATAAGGCAGTGAATCTGTCGTAGGATCATCCTTGGGTGCTCGGGGCGTTGGTGTGGAATTGACAATTTCGAAGAACGAAGAAAGGACGCGCATTGCTGCCGGGCGTGTTGACGTGTCGGTGAGTCCGCGGACAAGGCAAGCACAAACCGCAAAATGAAAGTTCTCGAAATCGAAGTGGATTCCATATGCATCGTCAAGCGGCAGCGCTGCCTCCTCAAGCTGGGCGCGGCTTTGTAGTAGAAGTGACACTATCTTTTCACATGTAGCACCGTTCATAGCACCAATATTGGTCAAGACAGCTTCAAGAAACTGAGCTGTGCAGTTGAAGAGGCCAATGGGCACAAGTCGAACAAGAGAAATGGCCAACCAGAACAGCTGAAGGCCGTAGCGAGATGAAGAGGGTAGTTTTATCATCATTTTAGACAGCGAGGTAACGATAGAAACCAGCATTTCGCTATTCCCATCTTCACCAAACTGGCCAATGCTGTTGCGTAGAGCGACAAGAACTTGGTAAAGTAAGTCATCATCTACTTCTTCACGGGCCAAGTATCCCATTACTGCAAAGGCCCTGGGCTGCACGGCTGGATTGATTTGGAAGGCTGTACTTGCAACAAGGCTCATCCATCGTGACCTCCAGCTATTGGCTAAGTCAACTGAAGGTGCCGCTGTCGAACATATGTCAAATAAAACGACAGTTAGGCTTTCCGTGGCCGCCAAAGTCGCATTTGAGTCATGTGCCGTTGATACAGAAGCACCATCTCGCATGGTCGCAGATGTCAAAGAAAACGCATCTCCTCGAGGCTCGCAGAGAAGGTCAAGATCCGCCTTTAGTTTTGTGAGTTTGGCCTCGTCTAGGTTGAAAGCCGTACACACTGAATGGATAGAGTTGACCAGTAGCTTATATACAAGTGAGCGAACGCTGTTGTCGCCTGTGTTTGCCAGCATTGTTACGATGTGGAAGATCTCAGGTAAGAATAGCCGTGACTGAACACCACTATCAAACGACAGTGCAACGCAAAATTGCAAAAGGACGCAGATTTCTGCCCATACTGGGCTGTCTTGTAGATACCTCGTTGGCCTCAAAGACGAACGGTTGAGGGATTTGCGAAGCCGAGAGAATATCTTTCCTCTGATAGAGGCAGTGCCAATACCAACAATGACAGGTGAGATGATGTCTAATGAGTCTTCATGAGCTCCATAGCTCAAAGCGGTTTTTATGAGCTCATCAAGAAATATGTCCAGCAGTAGCTCGTCGGTGGTAATTGATGGCAGCACAAAATGTTGTAGAGCATAAGAAAGGTGTTGATCTAGAACAATGAGGTCGATGAGCTTTCTTAGCAGTGTAGCGACCTTTTCCCTTCCCTTTTCACTGTCTTGTTCACTGGTTAAAACATTTGTTCGAAGACCGGCAAGCCACGGTGACATATATGCCAAGCTGAGTGGCTTTTGTTCATCGGGAAAGCTCTCCCATCCGACAAAAAATTCGGTTAAGAAGTCAGATGTGAGCTGAGGCTGTGTAGCTGCTAAAATGCTGCTAATTTCAGCTACAAATTTCGTGGGGTCAATGGGGACAGAGATGTCTGGTTCACAGGATTAGCATCAGAGAATCGCCTGTGCAAATGAATCACACAAGACTGTCTGCTTAGTACTCACCCTTTGCACAAGACAGCCTGGCATCTGCGCTAAATTTGAAGGCTCTGCACAATGCTCCAAGCAAATTATAAGATGCTAGTCTCAGGGAGCGATCAGAACTTAATAAGTTAGTAAAGGCCAGGTTGAGTAGTGTACCGGGCACGTCTTGAGGACGCATTAGTCTCTCAAAGGGCTTATAGGTGCGATTCTCTTTTCCATGCTTGTTCTTGGCGCTGCGGATGGTCTGAAGCACGTCCGCTTTCTTTGGACTGGTGAAGTACATCACGATTTTCCCCCCATCTGCTCGAAGTCCGAAGGAAGAGTCATCTTCTGACTGCAGTGACGTTGTTGCTTCTTCTACGTCGCCAAGCCGGAATATGTCATTGACAGTAGTACTGAGACGGAAGCCAGACAAGACCTCCTGTTTCTTAGTTGTTGCTACCTGAACAAACTGGCTTCCCACCTTGATAACGACCTCCACCTTTCCTTTTGACTTAGAAAGCCTTGTGATGGGTTGAAACATGTAACGTGTATCCGTTACAACGCTTATCGTTTCCTTTGGAAGATGGAGTTGGCTGAGATGAAAATGGGCTTGAAGATCCTGAAGGCTGCCTATCAGATGATACTCTACGTTTCTTGGATGGAAAGCACTGTTGTCGGTCCTGGTGGATACTCGCAAAAGGTGTCGGAAACATCTCCTATACATGTGTCGTCAGTAGCAATACGAAAGCTGGAGAAGCACTTGTAACTTACCTGAAAGCACTGTTCATGTTATAGACATAAATTCTTGTCATATTAAGTGCGAGTTCTGAGGGAGTAAGAAGATCTAGCATTTTGAAAAAATCGTCTTGGGGGTCGTTCCGTCCATTGTAAGAAGTGGCATCTACGAAGACGCCGAAAGGTTCGTGCCAGAGCCTGCTCGCAATCTGTCTAATAGTTAGTATTTTCCTTCTCGGAAAGACTCGATCGTTAACGATCGTATTGTAAGCCCAATATAACGCCGTCGTCGTATTATATCGGCAGGCTAAGCATCTACCGAGTGCTATAGAAAGAGTAGGAAACCAACCTTTAGAAAGCAATAAAGCATTGTGTCGTAATCAATATTGTCGGCTTCAATATGTCGCAGAATGATGCAAATAATAGAAAGTCCATCCTAAGAATGCATCAACACATGCACCGATATTTGTAAAGGGGGAATGTCTTGAAATTGAAGAGCAGTCAGTTCAACTTACTTTACTCTCGCCACCATCGTACACGGCACGAGATGTCAAGTAAGACTCCGTACCTCGAAAAGCGTTACGAAGCATGAAATTCTGAAATCGTGAATACAAAGGCGGGCTATTGGTTGAAATTTGAGGGCGGTTCCATGATATGGCCAAAGGCGGTGGGCCAAGATTTGAAATGAGATTGCGAAGTGGCTCTATGGCTGGTGACCGACCATGAGCATGCTCTCCGGGTGATCTTACAAATTCTCTACTATCTCTGGAGACGAGAATTTGCCGAAGATGGTCCCAATGGTCATAGAGGAATCGATGTAGAGCCACACAAGATCCGAAATCAATGGCCTTTTTGTTGACAGTGACCTCCATTTGGCTTGGTGGAATCTTCTGGGCTGTCAGCTTATTTACCTACATAAGAAGGCAGTTTGCAAATTGCTTACCGATATTTCACGCAAAAATCCTATCACAACATGAATGTTTTGGACCAGGAAGAGATTAAGTGGAAACATATAGGGCTCCTTTGTCCCAAACAGAACATTGTTGGCCAAATTTTGGATTATCTTTGCGATAAGAAGCAGCCCTCGGCGCATTTCTTTGGATGGCGGCGTAGATACAAGTCCTTCTACCTCCGGAGCAACAATTGCAGGACAGAAGAACCGGAGGAAGATGAAAGCGCCAACGGCAGTGTACTTGGCGTTGGGAAAACGGTGCAAAACTGCATCGGAAATCTATTGATTGTGTGAGAGCTATTAACCAGTAATGACCAAGCTTTGGTTAGACTCACTATGCTGCATATTTTTCTGAACGATGGGGGTATATTGGAAGCAGAAGCACAAATATCGTCCATGAAAACTTTGGCAACAATCTGAAGCTGAAGGGCGTTCTTCTCTAGTTCTTCTTGAGTGCCAACCCTGGTGGGATCAAGCTCCAGATCTAAATCTTGTGAGGTGAGCATGAGTCGTTCAAGAACTTTGTGAAGGGTCCCCTGTAGATAAGCAAAGCCTTTCCATCTAGCATAGACAGACAGCATTTTGGTTGCTACACAGTTCCGCCGCAGAATTTCTGCCTCATTTTCTGGGAGAAAGGTTAGTTCACACTTGGTTAAATGTTGATGAGTGTAAAGATCAATGTTACTCACCGGTTTGCTCTATTTCAGCTCTGATCAGTGCCTCAAAAAGATCGAAAATAAGGCCTCTCTGCTCGAATACGGTTAAAAGGGAGATTGTGAGTTCATCGACTTCTGTACTTGGGCAGATGGCGCTCATTGATGTGGAAAATGATAAATCTTTTGTAATCAACTTCATCCAAAAAGTTAGCGGCATGATGGACCCAAATCGGACCTGAGAAAACAAACCTCTAGAACTTCCTCGTATTTTTTGCTCACAGCCGAGTCTGTCAAATTACTGAATTCGGTTCCCTGGACGAGGATATTGAATAGAACTTTGACAAATGCGGTTCGAATCTCAACATTATCATGGTATCCGATATTGATGGAATGCTTCAAACCGACATCAATATTCGCGCTCAGTAGGTTAGAAAGGATAGTAATGGCTAAGTCTGAGTTAGAGATGGCTTCATCTCGACCAGGAAGCGTTGCAGCAAGATCCGATCTGCTCACTTCGGCCGATTCGTGGTTCAAAAGGGAAAGAAATCGATTGAAGTAGGTATGGAACATCTGAGACTTCATCTCGCTCATCCCAACGTCCGATTGGCTGTCAGCAGGCTGTAGCGGGAGGCGGAAAGTGAGATTTGCGAGAGCTCTTAGACAAGCTTTGTCAAGGTCCTTTTGAACCCTGCTCAGATCATCTTGTCTCCCAACCAAACCGGTCTGATCAACTTGCGGCGATCGCGGTCGGTCTATCCAACCTATGATGTACTCAAGGACCTGATTTCGAATATGCACGTCATCACGAAGGTTCAAATGCTCTTTCCGCTTTGTCACAGTTTCGCACAACTGACAAACCCTAATCTCAACACGCAGGGTATTTGCAGTGTCTGCAATTCCATCAATGAACTTGGCGAAATTCAGTGTTATAAGGCCCAAATGAACAGACGAAGCAGCAGTTAAATCCGCAGGGATTTCTAGTCTTTCGACCAAAGTCTTTAATAAAGAAGCAGCCTGCTCTGCAAATATGATGTCGGTTTCTTGAGCTGTATCTGCCGGAGCGAGGACACCAGCAAATAGCACTTCCAATTCTGACTCGAGAGCTTTGAATAAAGCAGGGTAGAGTATAGGAGACACTTCGCTGGATAAAATCTCTCGCATAGCTTCACGAACCCTGACGTTTGCACACGCTAGGAGCTGAATAGCTAGCTTGAGATAGCGTTTAAGAGAGGACTCTTCAGATTGCTCAGCTGGGGATCGATCAATCCATGCCAGATTTTGGAGTGAAGGATCCTCTGCGGCATTGGCCTGGCCCGCGGTACAAGCCCCTCCAAGAGACGCAAGAAATCCTGAAAAGTTTCGCCACTCTGATAGAAGTCGATCGTCAACAGAATTCGGATGGAGTGTAGAGACCTTCTGGACTAGAAAGATCCAACGATCGAATGCCATTTCCCAAGCGTTCAGTATGCCCAATGTCGGAAACTGTATGCGGCGCAGGAGATTTCGAATACGCTTTTGGAAAGCGACCAGACCCGTAAAGCGGAAAGCTGGCGAAGCAATCTCACGGAAAATATCGCCGTTACGAAGAACGGAAGCCGATGATTTGACAGACTCAGTGAATTCACTGATGCAAGTACACTCTGCAAGAAACAGGCCGATGCAGGACGTCACAAGCTGACAAACGTCAATATCTGCGGAGCAAAGAGATACTAAGAGAACAGTCTCTAATTTTGACGATGCGGCTACCATATCAGGGAGTTCGTCAGGAAGTCGAGTCAATTCCTACAGAAATGGTTATTAATATAGGGAATTACGGGGCAATGAATTAAGAAGTCTTACCGGTATATTCTTCAATATGGTAAGACGAGCTTTCAGGTAATCATGCAGTGTCGTCAGTTCAGGAAGCCTAGGGTGAACCATTCGTTCACATAATTCTAATATGACCTTGGAGCTAAAAGGGGTATCAGCTTATGTCGAGCAAGATGCGCGCTTGATTTTTACCTTCGAGTCCAGAATGTTTCCCGCAGTTCAACTATTTCGCCATGACTGTGCTCATTAAATGCCTTGATAGCATCTGGGTGTTCTGCGAAGAGCCGCTCAGCAACCTCGGTTGCTGTCTGGCAGATGGTCTTGTTGGATGATATTACAGTGAATATAAATGGCCCCAGAGTATCAATTGTCGGGGATTGGCGAGTCAGTTCATTTATCAATGGTGTAGGCAGAGCGCCTAGGAACTTGAGGATGCTGCGTGCTATGTTTATGACCTCGTTACTGAGAATAGCTGCCGAGTCCCATTGAGTAGCAACACAAGCCTAATAGCAGTCAGTGCCGTCAGCAGTGGGAGATATCAAGAGGAGGCAAACCTTTAACTGTGATTGAATGAAGGGAAGTGCATCGTTGAATAGTTCATTGTACTTGGAAGAGTCTGGTAGGTTCGCAAGATGACAACATGCTTGTATGACTGCAACTTTGAACCTATATGGCGATGAAGGTGAGATACACGTATCGAGGACAGTGTCAATGCACACGTCCAAGTTTAGATGTGCCAAAGTAATGAAAGCAGCAGTGATCATATTGTGGTCAAACTGGGCTGAGAGCGAGTTTGTAGCAGAATGGCGAAAGACAGCATCCCGCACCTCATCCTGCACATCCATTGCATAACTGACAAGGGCAGAGTCGCTCTCTGCATTGAAATGGCGAGCAGCGCGGAGCAAAGAGATGACGCAGTATCCTGCTTGCTCATTTCCATTCTTCATAGCTTTACGCAATCCATCGAGAAACGAGACTTTCTTCATGATGTTGCCGCCCCTGACCTCTCTCATGTTACTAGCAACCTCGAAAACATCGGGCATAAGGAAAAGGAGAGTCGTCTGAAGAGGAAAGAGAAGCATTTTGCGTCTAGCGTCAGTCACGGTTTGTGTCATATCAAAAAGAGTGTCTGCGCCTCCATCAAGCCGCCTATGGAGGCGGTGGAGGTGTGTGAATTCTTGCGGATACCGATCAATCCATCGAGATATTAATAATGGTATGGCAGCAGCGACAGCATTTTGATATGACTTTCGAAAGTGAAGATAGCTCGAACAAAACTCCTGAATGATGGAGCCAAGCCTGGCACTATCAACCCAGAAAGAGGAGACAAGCTGCACAATGATGAGCGAGCCTCTCTCCGACTCTTGATTGCTCCCGGATTCTGGGCCTATATCTGCCGCCGCCGCAACGCGGACACTGTATATAACACTTTTAAGGTAGCTAAATGAATGGGACCAGCTGGACGCTGTGACATATCCCACGAGCACTTTGACGTGAGCTTCGACCTCTTTCAAGTACGAAGTAAGGGAGGTTTTGGTGTCGGCTGCATCGTAAAGGGTATCTTGTGGCGTTCCACTGGCCGAGAAAGCCACACTGGCACCAGGCTCGGGGCTTTGATCCAGGAGAGCTTGCGCCGAGAGCATATAATTTTCGGATATCGGTTCCAGCAGATCCTTGAGCGCGTCGAAGGTCCGGACAACAAGCCTCTCGCCCAGCGTAGCAGACGGCAAAGCTGTGCCACTGCTGCGAGAATTGGGCTGTGCGGCCCAATGGGCAGAGCAGCAGTCTGCTGCAAGGCTCAGCACGAAGAGCTCCGACGACAAGACCAGACTTGGGTGTTCCGAGACGACATGGTAGGGACGCGCGAGATCTTCGAGCAATGCCACCAGGGACTCGAGGGTCGTGTCGATGGACGCCTTGCTGAGGTCAACGAGGGTCGACCTCGTGATATGCAGCACTTCATCCTCCAGGGGATTTGGGCTGCTCGTTCCGGTGACGTGCGGTAGCTATGCGTAGCGCAAGAGCGTATAAAGCTAGATTAGCCGGCATTCGCAACGTTAGAGTTTCTACGGGCTGGAATGGACATCTAGTGCTCACCCTGCTAGAGAGCCGTTCAACCAAGCAGCCCACCAGGCTTGAATCCCCAGACATGGCGGCGATCTGGAGATTTCGGAACGGGCGAGCTGGTTGGACGTGGACGAGATGAGGCCATGGTCGAATTAGGGACCAGAGGCAGAGCGCGGGGTACCTTCTAGTAGGTACAGATAGCAACGGCACGGCCCCCTAAGATGTGGGATCCCTGGCTGTATTGCAGCTAATCAAGCGCTAATAGCGGCAGCACAGCTCTGAGCACAATGAAGCAATTGATACGGGCCCTTAAATAGGGCCCGTAATGGGAAAGCCATCGCTCATGACGAAAGATGTTTAGTTCTAGCAAAATCTATGGCATGTCTGAGACCAATCGAATGTTAATAGCACGATGCTCTCCTAAAATAGGGTCATCTAACCCGAAGCACATCTTGGGGTGCATTTTCAAAGGGAATTGAGTCCGGCCAGGGGCACCTGAGGCCATCCTAACCCACCCGACCTTAGACTGCTGGACCTGGCACCTAGCGCCGAAGCTCCGTACCAGCTTGTCTGTCACTGCGGTAGAGCATCTGCATCTGCATCTGTATCTGCACCAGCATCTTCGCCCTAGCCATTCATTGATCTTGTCCGCTTCTACCTATCCGACTACCTATCCCCAGACTTACCGGACTACAGAGGCGTGTCTCCAGAGCCACTATGCAACAATGCCTCGTCGGCACGGTGCTCTAGATGACTACACGTCTGCTGTTCCTCACGTTCGTGGTTCCATCATACCTACACTGCTCTCCAGCCGCCCAGCCTAACAAAGTGTTAGATCATCCTGTCAACCTCTGATTCCGACTATCTTGACCACCTCATACCTGTGCTCAAAGATGCTACAAACTCGCGGCGGACGCCAGCTTTGCTGCAATCCTTGTCTCGCTATTCCGAAGACCGCGAGGCAGACATCGAGCGAATCGGATTGACCAAGCACGAAGAGTTTCTGGACTCAGTCCACAGGTTGCAGGAAGTACGCGAGGGGACCGTCACTCTCACAACCGAGATTCTCAAGCTCAACCAGTCGATTCAAGCCAGCACTGAGAAGCTTGCTGAGCAAAAAGGCGCCCTCGTCAACACCAAGGCTGTGCGCCAGAACATCGCTGACGCGGCAGATGCTCTCCGCGAGTCTCTTACAGTGCTGCATGCCGTCAACCACTCCCACGAACTTGTCCGCCGAAAGAAGTACTACTCTGCCCTCAAGTCGCTGGAAGACTTGCAGAACGAACATCTGGTCTCTATCCTTCAGAACCGGTATGCGACTCAGCATCGTTTGGCAGATGTTATCCAGAAGTCCCTCCCTGCCTCGCGGAGGGCAATTTCCGAAGCGGTCATGTCTGACTTGAATACCTGGCTTTTTCGGATCCGTGAAACCTCGCAATTTTTGGGAGAAGTCGCATTTTATCATACCGAGATGCGGAGGTCGCGGCAGAGGGCGCGAATCGAGAATGAGAAGTTCTTGGAGAATTTCAAGCTAAACTCCTCAATTGAACTTATTGCGGATGAGAATGAAGAATTTGACGTGCTCGACAATGAAGAGTTGCAAGTCGATTTTACACCACTGTTTGAAGCTCTTCATATCCACGATGCTCTTGGACATAGCGACCGGTTTCGATCGGAATACGCCTCTACTAGGCGTCAGCAAAAAGATCTTCTTATCCCGACTTCGATTGATCTGCTAGCTGAGGATGAATCATCTCTTAGCAGCTTACTGGAGGGAATAGCTGGGTTCGCAATTATAGAAAAGGCAACAATGGGGCGCGTGCCTTATCTGCGCTCTGTGGTTGATGTGAGTCTGCGATTTACAATTTCGAAGCAATCAGTTTTGTTCTAACATAACACAACAGGTAGAAGAACTTTGGGACTCCATGTGCACGGCAGCTATAGCCATCACGACGAAAGCGCTGACAGGTATCGATAATGCCGAAGTGCTACTGAAAATCAAGGGCTTTATTGCCATGTTCATTCAGACTATGGAAGTAAGCATGTACCCGTGTGAAACGAGTTAAAGAAAGGAAGGACAAAAAAAAGGAGGAAAAACAACTGATTTGATTTGACAATCACTGACTGCGTTTAGGGCTGGGGATACTCCGTCTCTACTCTTGATAATTTCCTCTTACAGCTCTTCGATAAGTATGCCCAGCTGCTGAAGCGTCGATTCAGTGAAGACTTTCAAGAGGTCAGTACAGATGTTTACTTCTCCCTCTCTCTTTTTCTTTCCCCCCCTATTCCAAAGTGAACATTCATTTTTCCAACATGACAAACTTGATAGATTGTTTCCACCGACGACTACATGCCAATGGCTATCAACTCGCTTAGCGACTACGAGAAAGTGATCAATGTCAGCTGGTTCACACCAGATCGACCTACGGAGGAACTTGCGTTAGTCTATCCTTTTCCTCCAGGATGCGCAGATGCTGACGATGATATGTAGATTCCCATGTGTTTTACCATTTTCTCAGATGTACCCCCTCTGTTGTATCGACATCCGAAACTTTCTGAACCAGTTCTACTTTTTCCTTGACGACCACTTTCAGCACTCGGATATTATTGATGAAACGCTCCGAAAGGTCTTGACGCTCTCCTCTCTATGTTTCGGTTCAGTGGAATAGGCGGCTGACCAATAAAATAGTCTTTAGATGAGCTTCTTAGTGAGAAAGTTTGCAAGTCTCTTGTGGAGCGTCTGAGCTCTCAATATTTAGGACAGATTGTGCAGATTCTCATCAATTTAGAGCACTTTGAGATAGCGTGCCGTGAGCTGGAACAGCTGTTGATCAGAGCAAGGTCTACCACTTCGGCGGGCGGTCCTTTGAGATTGAATGCGACCGAGGAATTCCGCAACAACAAAAAGACTGCCGAAAAGAGAATATTCGAGCTAGTCAACTCAAAAATTGACGATCTTGTGGATACGGCAGAATACGACTGGTAAGAAGACATTTTGGTTATGGAACTGATCGCAGGAGCTAATCAAGCCAATTACATAGGCTGGCAAATGCAGTGCAGACGGAGCCCAGCAATTACATGCAAACTCTTACTCGATATCTGTCCAACATTATGAATTCTACGCTTCTGGGGCTGCCTAGAGAGATTAAAGAATTGATTTATTTTGATGCTCTGAGCCACGCAGCCGAGAAAATATTGGTAAGCTGCCTATCGAGTCTCCTTTTAAAACAAAAAGTGATTATTTATTTCATTTTGACTGACCAAAACAGGCCCTGCCTCTTTCATCCGAAGTTCGACACATCAACGGCCATGGAGTGTCAGCTTTGGCACAAGACGTCAACTATCTTACCGACTTTGTCGGGAGCTTAGAAAACGGACAGATGCTACGTGAAAATCTCGATGAACTTCAGCAGACTGTAAATCTGATGCAGTCGGATAATCATGACGAGTTCTATGATATTTCAATCCGCAACAAGAAATATGGCCGAGTTGACCCCCTCAATGGGCCGATGCTACTTGAAAAGTATGTGTTGACCCATACAATTGAAAACCAAACGAGATATACCCAAAACAAAACAAAAAAAAAAAAAAAACTAACATATAGTGTAGGCTGACTCCTACCGCACAACCTTCGGCGAGAACTGCGCCGCTTTCCAATCTGTCTCGCTTCGCCATCATGAAATGAAGCAAACTGTTGTTTACATGTGTCCCTAGGTCGCAAAATATGCCTGATATCTTGCCCGCCTGGAGACTCCCCACATTACTTGGGAGGTGGTAGGCAGAAGATGACTTGATCCAACGAATTTTGTTGTGTCACTGGTCCCATGCTGGTGGCTCTTCGTCAACTGCCGGTTCAAACTGAAGCGAGCCCTATTCGAATTCTTCAGACTGCATTGGTGCCTATCAACCATTAGCAGGGTCATGTTAAGTTGTGGCAGGAATGACTTACCTGTTGCGGTTGCATTGTTGAGTATGGATACATGCCCTCCATTTCGCCATAGATAGCCGTTTGTGGCTGGGCCTGTCCATAGGCGGCAGCGGGAGGGCCCTGGGGAACCTGGCCAGGATACATGTTGGGGGGCTGTCTGTAGTCCTGCTCAGCGCCGAGCGCATGCGCGTCCATGTAACCTGCGGTGGCCATTGGGTGGGCAGACGGATGGCTAGGCGCCTGAGCCATGCCTGGGTGCCCGGCCATTGGTGCCTGGGCGCCACCGGGGACTGGCTGCGCGGCGGAGGGCTGGGTGGTGGTTCTTTTGGCGTGTGCTGTAGCTTCTTCTCTAGGGACAATGTCGATGAGGAAATCAAACATGTCGGATTTAGCAAGTGCCGAGGCAATGTCGGACCGCTGCAGAGTGCGGCGCTTGTTCTCCTCTGCATGGATCCATGCGCGCATAGTGAGTTCCGTAATGAAGATGTCACAGCCCTTGGCGAATAGAATCGGTGCTTCGGCGGAAATCATCTTGACCTCTGGGTCGGCCTTCATGACCTTTTTGATACGCGCAAGGGGCAGCTGGTGGATCTTGTAATCGTGAGTGTCGCTTTCCAAGTGGCTGATTGTCTGCTGCCAGTAGGTTGTTAGGATATCCTTGTACTGTCCTGTGAGTCCTTGGTGAACCTAGAAGCCGCCCAGCAGTCAGCCATCAGAAGCGCGGAGCAAACGCACAAGGAGAGAGAAACAAACATTTGCCCAGGGGCCGGTGTATAGCTCGGCCGGTGCAAAGCCTTGCGAGGCAAGCTGTAGCTGTTGTTAGCAAGCAAGGATGGCATGGCCAAACAGACCATTGAAGCAAGTATACGAACAGCAGCACAGGCACCTATGCGGGGCGCATTAGCATTTCAGCAGCAGACGCTCAGCGAGAGAGAAGAGCTACGAACCATAGTGTCCTCCTTGTGTGGGATCGTAGACGGGTGCCGGCCGGTTATGTGACGGGTGGGTTGGCGCAGACTGGTTTTGCGACTCCATTGTTGAACGTTGTGTAGATGAAGCAGCGAGGTTGGTGGTGCGGCAAAGCAAGCTACGAGTACTAAATCGCATCAGAGGCCGGCATCGATAACTCATCACAGGCAAGATATACATACACAAAGGCGAAGGTGGAAGCACGTCTCTGTTTATCGGCAAGACTCAGGCCAACCGCATCAGCAAAAAAATTCCCAACAGGTGCAGCAAGCGCGCGTTATCGGTGTAACAGGCAGATCGCGTTGTTGATTTTGGGCTCGAGACCTTGGATGATGTTGTCAGAGCTGCTTCACGACTGGAGCAGCTTATTCGCTGGGCAGCCATGGCTAGCCGGAATCAGCTAGGGCGGCTAGCTGCCTCGCTTTCGGGATAGCTGCATAAATATTCCCGCCATGCCGTGATCCTCTGCATTACATAATTCGTGTTTTTTGGGTGGTGATGGTGGGGAGCTGGTAAAAAAAAATTCTTGTAATGGGATCAATCCACTTCTTTGCATAAACCAAAAAAAAAAAAAAACCACCAGCATTTATTTTCTCTTACAAAAGAACCAGGGCCATTTTCTCTCGAAAATTTTCCCTCCAGCGCTTTCCTCACAAAGACCTGGCAATTGATCTCCTTGTCGCGGATTCAAGGTCATATTATGGCTGATTTTGCCGACAATGACATCCAGGAGCTCCTACAGCAAGCCGAGCAGCGCCTCAGCGGTGGCCGCATAGTCGCCAAGGAAGCTTCAACAGCTTCGACGGCGAAGCCAGTGGGAGGAGAGGATGTTGTTAAGGCTGTAGCAGCTCCCACGCCAGAATTGGCTCAAGTCCGCGTGCCGCAGCCCAAGATGGATGCACAGCGGAAGGGTAAGGTAAGCAGATACAAATTACTCCTTGTTCTCTCCTGTTCTCTCTCTCATGTCCCTCTTGTCTTTGCAATGAGATTGCCGGTATAAAGATGAAAGTTAGCCGCAAGGCACAATGACACGGGACAACGTCCGTCTTGGGCTATCGTCCCGTGGCTCCTGATTTTTTTTATCATCATAGTTACTCTGAATACCAAGCGACTCAAGTCCCCTTTTACGCTCATTACCTCTTTACGCAACTGGTACGAGGACTTTTCGTTGCTAACGTATAAAAACAGAACACAGCAGGGGCTGACTGGTTTGATCTTCCCAAAACAAACATGACGGCAGAGTTCAAGAGAGACTGGCAACTCTTGCGCATGCGAAATGTCCTAGACCCTAAGCATCAGAGAAAAAACCTCCGAGCCAGCGCCCCCGTATATTCGCAGGTGGGCAAGGTCATTGCCAGTCCAACCGACCCATTCAGCGCGAGACTTGGCCGTAAGGAGAGAAAGCAAACACTGCTAGAGGGCGTCATGGTTGCTCATAATGACAACAAGCTCGCGTCCAAATACTCCGACATACAGGAGAAGAAGAGGTCAGGACGCAAGGCATTCTACAAATCAGTAGTTTCCAAACGACGACAGAGGAATTAGAGGAATTAAGGCCCCAAGACCTAAATCTTGACATGATACCCGGACAATAATGGAGTTTTTCATCTGGTTGACCAACTATTTTATGGTTTGAAAAATAGAGCAAAAAAATTGAATAAAACATGATAATGCTATTTCTGAGCCTCCACCCTAGAGTGTATAAACTTTTGTTATAATGTAATTTATATGTAATGTTTATATTAAAATCTTGTGATGATAGCATATTCTTCTTCTCGTCATACCATTTCGTAGTGTATAATTCGTAATTATAACTCCTTAATACAAACCCTAGTAATAAGTAGCCAGCGCTCGTGCCGTCATTCTGCGTTACACCAACTTGATCTTATGCTAGTCTGCCTTCTGCTTTGGCTTCTATTGCATCACTTGCGTTAGAATCGTGGGTATAGGTTTAGGGGAAATATTGGGTTGATAGTCACTCACCTTTGACTTGTTCAAAGACCTTGAGCATCTTGCGTCGCGCTCCGAGAGCATTTACGCCTCGGTCCTCCAAAGCCTTGTCGTCTAATTCGACCAGATCCGTCCATTTCATATCCTTCAGATTATCCGTGTACTTGTGTAGTCGCAGACTACGGAGCCAGCTAGGGATGTCCTGAAGAAGGGTGGGATCGGTGGGATCTTCCGGAGGCTTGGAGCTTCCCCGTCGTCCTCTCGGTGAACGGCCTCGGACCATGTCAGAGTGGTCTGAGAGGTAGCCTTCGTGAGTGTTGATTCCTAGCTGCCCCAAGCCGACGGGCGGTATGCCACCAGACATCAACCCAGAACCATCGTATGCGCTAAGAAAGCCATTATGCTGAGGCGAAGTGAAGTGCGACATGGGGCCCATCCCAGCCTGCAAAGGCAGACCCGGAGAGCTGGGGCGAGATCGCTGCCCTCCAAAGCTGAGGCCCTGCTGAGCTTGGAGCGCCATTAGTTGGTCACGGGTCATGACCTGCCCGTGCTCGTTGATCATCACGACGTTGGCGCTGGGAAAGTTGATTTGCGACGGCGTAGGGGGCATTTGGCTGTGTGCATTGCCCGGAGCATCGTTGGATCTAGCCCTCCGATATTTGCGAACGTCATCGAGAGCGAAACGATTGTTGACAGTCGAAAGCGCAGCCAGCTTCATTGCAGTCGCGTTGGCAATCATATCGGCCTGGCCAGTAGAGTTTCCGGTGTTGAAAGTCGGCGCCATTGGAGTATTGACCATGGAAGCCCAGCTGCCACCTCCATTCGCATATGGGGATAGGAGAGGCAAATCAGCTGGGGTCTTGTCGCGAGCCGTCAAGGTGGTCGTTTGAAGAGTGGAATTGCTAGTCAGCTGCGGCGGCCGTGGTGATCGTAGTCCTGCAGACGCCGGAGGCTGGACGAATTGGCCCATGGGAGTCTGGGACGAGCCTGCTTTGGCAGACGCCGCTGCATCTCCGCCGCTGGCCCACGGTGACGCCGCCGAGGCAGCATTGCCCTCCCTAGATTCCTGAGGGGCGGCTGCAATATTAGGTCCAGCCATTGCGGTTCGTGGGTCGAGGGCCAAACTGTTACGATTCGACGAAGGTGGGTTCCCGGTTTGCTGAGTGAACTTTGCCTTTTCCGTTGCAATAGCGGCAGCGGCGTCGGGGAACATGGCGTTGATCGTGGAAGCGTCAAGGCCAGAGTGTCGCTTGGTCGATGACACGGCCGAGTTGCGAGCGAACGAGTTTCGGGCCGAGTCGACATTGAGCTTGTTCATAGCATCGCTAAGCCGACTAGACATCGGATCTTGCGGAAACGTTAGCATGCAAGGTTCGAGAGTCGATTTCGCGAGAAGGATATACCTTTATCAAAGGTCGCGGGGGACAAAACGCCAGACATGGGATGGTTCTTGCCCATCTGCTGGAGGACCTGGATGAAGAAGCGGATCTGGACTTGAGTGGTCTGTTGCAGCAAGGCGTACAGAGCGGCCGTGCGCTCAGCCTCGCTCAACACCCGAAACCACTGCTCAATGGCGCTGAGCTCGTCCTTGAAGTCCTGGTCGAGCGTGGCGGCAGCCATCTCCTCCAGCGTCGTCTCATACTGGTCGATGTCCGCAATCCACTGCTGGGCAATCTTGTCCTGCGAATCGATATCCAGGCCGGCAGGGCCAAGGCCGCCCTGCTGAGGCTGGCCGTAGAAGTCGGACGACGGCCTGATGCGGTTGGCCGACGAGGTCCCTGATATGGCCGCCATGTCGGCAGACGCGCGCAGCGAGCTGCCAGAGCCAACTGCTCGAGAAGACGGCGGTCTTAGAGAAGGAGTGGCATTGACTTCAGGGGTGCTGTTGCGGTTTCCGGCGACGTGGCTCCCAGACATATTGAGCATGCTTCTTCGGCCGGGTCAAGACGGGGTGAAGAGCAGAGTAGGTAGTTGAAGAAGAAAAAAAAAGAGAGAGAGAGAGAGAGAAGAGGGGCTAAAGACGGGAGAACAGTTGGCGAATTTATTTCTGCAGTATCCAGCTGAGCAGAGACGGTTTGGCAAACCGCAGACGAGGCAAATGCAAATGATGACGAAGAGTTAAAACATGATCCTCTGGCAAATGTCGCGCGTTAGCATTCGGGTCTCGTGTAAAGTCCGCAGCTAGGCGCTCAGTCAGGAGGCTTTGTGCCTGTAAGTAGCACGGAGGAAGACGCAGAGAGAGACGCACAGGCAAATAAAGAGTCGTTAACCAAAATGGGATGTCTGCGTCCAGGCAGGCAACGCAATTCAAGTCAATCAAATCAAATCAAATCCAGCGACCGATCAGCTGTCTGGGAGAGATCGTAAGGGGATGAGACCCGGCTGAGGAAGAAGGATCGTGCAGAAGAGAGAGCACGGACTAAGGATGCCGAGAGTAGGGGATTCAATCACGGATTTGCTCTCGGCCCAGGCCAGGTTAAAGTGCCTACCGGTACGCCTGCCTACCTATTACGCCGTAGCATGTATGGCTAATGGCGACTGGCGCTGCTATTGGGTGCTGCTAGCTGATGAAAGTGGTACTATTAGTCGTACTTACCTCATTGGGCAGTACAAGTATGAAGAATTACTAGCCGCAGCAAGAATACACGTGCTGCAGTTTTTAGCATGGAGGTACTCCGTACTTTGCATTTGAATACTGTAGCTGCTATACATGTGCTTTTTAACATTAGAAAAGAGAATATGGTACGCAGATGTAAGGAATTTAGATGCTACTAGTAGTAACAGTGTCCAAGTGTTGCTTAATGATCGATGGATGCATCCCACCTGTTTTGTTTCTCGAGAAATAAAACATCAAAGCCTGAAACAGAAACACCGGGGCCATGGCGTTGTACCTCGTCCTAGTGCCAACACGCGAAAACTCGCTCCCACACTAGCCCCTCCGCCTAACAAAAGGTACCTCTCTCGCTTACCCGCCTAAATTCCCCTCCTCGCACACACTAGGGCTGGACCACTCTTCACTTTTCCGCACGATCTTGAATCTCGACTTGCAAAATCACACCGGACCAGCATCGTCAACCACAGCAGCAATGGCCAGTGAGTTTTTTGCCCGCCCCGACCCGGAATCCGATCAAAATAATTTTCGCACGGCAGAATGCTAATATTTCGAGCAATCTAGAGTCAAAGAACTCGTCCCAGCACAACCAGAGCCGCAAGGCTCACCGTAACGGGTTGGTCTTCAATTCTTAAAGATTCACAAACAAAGTTCTGTTCGCTTACTCCCCCACGCAGTATCAAGAAGCCCAAGACTTCCAGATACCCTTCCCTCAACGGAACCGACCCCAAGTTCCGACGAAACCACAGACATGCTCTCCACGGCACCATGAAGGCTCTTGTACGACTTCTCCCCCCCCCCCCCCCCAAATAATCAGGGACAAACAATCCGAAGACAACGAAAACTAACCCATTCCAACAGAAGGAGCTCAAGGAGGGCAAGCGCGAGACGGCATGAGTGTGTTCCGATTGGCAAAACTGTTGAACGAAAACAAAAAGGGGAATCTTTGCAAAGTTTCAGGGCCAATGGCCCATTATTAGACGCGATTGGCGCAGGAATTTGAATGCCTCATCGGCTAATAGGAAATGCATCACCATATGCTGAAATATCGATTTGAGTTTCCTCTTAATATGAGCACCGGATAGACGAATCGGCTGTCTGGAATGGTGCAAAGTTCCCTGCCCTCTTTCTGGGGTCGGTGCCCGACGTCCAAGCAACCAGTGATGACCTTTTGTGTGAATGGACTCTCTGAAAAAACATCCCAAGAGCTGCTACCGACGAACGAGGATCCATTTCTATTTCTATGTGTTCCTTGAAATGGTATTGTGGCTCATGAACAAAATTGGAAAGGAGAAACGCGAAACGTGAAAATCATGACTTCTTCTTTTATTGCCAGCTATCGCTATTATAGCTTCATGTTCTTTACTAGAAGCTCATGTGCCAAGGCCTTGTGATTCGTGGAAAGCAAGGATATGATTTGGTTCGTCATGATGATATCCTTCAACAGCTTCTTGCCGCCCGCCGCCTTGTTTGCTTCCAGGGCTTGCGTGTAGTACTGCAAGCTCAAATATCCAATTCCGAGTAGTTGAAAGAGCCTGCCCACATTATAATATCGCTCCGCTTGCCGCTGTGGCTCCCCTCCCCCATATTGCACGTAGTTGCTGATGAATGCTTGGCCCTGCAGGAGCAAATATTGCCGGTTGGTCGACTGCCGTTTCAGGCCATAATGAACATATGCGAGACCCAGACTCAAGTTGACCATGGGATTGTCATGGTCCAGTGACCAGGCACGCAAGAAATATCCTACTTCTCGGTCAACAATTGACTTCCTCATTGGCTACAATTTGACTTGGCTCTCAAACACTCACCTATCGCGTACGTGTAGCTTGTAGATGTAAATAGAATGTGGCCGTAGAGCATCAAGAGACATATATCCATGTTTAGCTTTGCAGCGGCCGTTATGCTTTGATCGAAATTAGGCTTCCCAGCGGCATGCTTCGCAGTGACTTCGTAGGTCACATCTATGGCTTTGATCTGCCTCAAGATGAATTTTTGGGCTGGTCCAGAGGTATACCAGGAAACAGGGGATTGGCATAGCTTGGAGAGCAATGCAAACATCCGAGAGGAGTCGGATATCCCGCCATCTCTCATCAAGTGACGAGCTATTGTAATACACTTTTCTTCGTCATTTGTATTTATTGCACAAACTATTTTTGGTTAACACGGCCTTGATACAGCTAAATACGATAAGAGAGTCGTCTTATACATACCACTCCAAGCCATGTGGATGACAAAATTGTGTTGGGGTGATTGGAATACAGTCGAGTCTCTTGCGGATTCGCATACTTGATATGCTTCTTCGCGGCGATGTACAAGCGATAAGCCAATGGCATAATCTAGAAATAAATCAAGCCAGTCATCAAATGATATTCCTTGGTGGTTATCGAAAGCTGGTCCCGGAATAGAGTCTCCTTGGGGCGCAAGAGCTGTAAAGATCATCTTAGTCAAAAGCAGAGTGGAGAGGGGAGAACGGCACGTACATCGTTGGAGACGTTCAAACATCTGCGATAGCTCGGTATTTGCTTCTTCGCTCGCGGCCTGTTCCAGCAATTGCTTCTTGCCAAGAAAATGGAGATATTTGTCCCATGTATAGAATCTCTTGAGCGATCGAAAATCGTCGACAAGCTCCCTACAAGATTCCATCCAGACCGGAATGAGATCGCTAGAGCCAGACTTGATCTGCTGTTTTAGGCCACGGACAAGCTCATATTGCTGAGACAGTTTGATTGCGCGCGACCGCTCGTCTTGACGGCGCTTATCCGGGTTTGCAAACCGCTTTGCGCGATATCTCCTGGGCAAGATACGAGCTGTTTGGGCAGATTTTGGTTTAGGCTGTCGAGGCTCTGCCCGTGCTCGAGGCCCTCCCGCATCCCGCAAACGACGATCCGGTTTCATTGAGAACTTGCGAAGCTGCTCTTTTGTTAGGGGCCCGTTGAGAGCCGGCTCTCCTTGAGCTTCTTTCAGCGCCATTGCTTCCGCAGCAAGAATGAGGGCTTCTTCATCTTCTCTAGCTTTCTCATACATGTTGGCCAGTTCGATACGAGCGTCAATGTTGTACTCCTCGGCATCAATTGCCGCGTGAAAACACTCTTCCGCGGTAGATTGCAGTCCGGTGGCCAGATAGCAGCGGCCCAGTAGGACCAAAAGAACGGCGTCAGGCTCTTCAGTAGTAGCCCGAAGCAGTTCGAGATACCTAATGGCTCTTTGTGGCTCGTCATACTTGGCGAGTTCGCTCGCAAGATCATATGAGACGAAAGGGAATTCTGCTAAAAAGTCAACGGTGCGAGGGTGATCTGGATCCAGCCAGGCCAAGTGTCTCTGTCGATTCTTCTGGTTAGAGTATGTTTGCTACGCTTATAACGCTTGTTTTCAGGGGAGCAGTTGCTTACAAAAGCCTCATCCCCCTCTCCCAGCCTCAATCTATATATTACCAGCCGGACCCTGAGGTCTAATGGAAGAGCATGGCCGTAGAGTTCTGGGCCAAATAGGGAGCCCTGAAAATGGGGTACATGACTTCTACGATCGTCATCGTCGTCCCATTCACAGTCGTCCACCTGCCACTGGTCCCAGTATTGTTCTTGGACACGGCCTACGAGCCATCTTGATAACGCCTTGAGTTCGTGAATAGCTTCGGCAAATGCGCCAGTTGAGGCGATGAGCTCAACATAGATTCCGATGTCGTGCCATGGGCCGTCCGGTCCATACATTGGGGAATTGCCCATCTCATAGTCAAAGTAACGCCGATATGCCATGATGGCGGCAGGAACAGCAGATTCGGCATTTTTATTGTCAATGCAGGCTTCTGCTAGCTTCCGCACGATGTCGAGGTCATATGGATGATGTTTTAGGACAATATTATACTCGGAGATTGCGGCTGCTAGATGGCCCTGTCGATGGCACACAGAAGCTTTGCCCAGTCTAGCGTCCAGGTTCGTGGGATCTGCCCTGAGGGCAGCAGAATAGCAGAGTCGCGCAGTGTGAAGATTGCCCGCCTCATCTTCATGTAATGAATCCAGGGCACAGGACGCGCACTCAAGCCATGCAGCAACGTTCTTGGGCCGAAGATGAGCAGCATACACCATGGCAGACAGCGCCCGGGCATTCTCGCCCTGCTCGCGAAAGATGGAGGACAGCGCCGTCCATGCTTGATGAGTTTCGGCGTTGATTCGGATGACTTCAGAGACCAAGTCCAAGGCTTTTTCATAATCTCCACCGAGAAATGCCTGGTTGACTTTGGCCAGTCGAGCGGTGATGTCTCCGCGAGGCTTGGCCGCTTTCCGAGGGCCTCGAACTCCGCGCCCTCTGAAGACTCCACGCGTCGGAAGGGGCGTTTCTGAGCGTCCCTGCTGAGAATCCAGGAATTCTCTTACGGACTGGTCAAACTTGGCGATGTCGCCTTGAAGCTCCTCATAGTCCGAATCGGAGTCGGATGGATTGCCACTACAGCCGTCAGTCGTAGAGCTAGTCTGGTGATTTTGCCATTCGCAAGGCTCGCAAGAGTGAGTACTCTAGAACGCTGATGCACTTACAAGGCGGTTGGGTCATCCATGCCCAGGTTAGACGACATGGTCATTGAGTGTTGAGATTGATCATGTTGGTGGCAGTGATGATGAAGGATGGACCAGCATGGAAATAGTCCATCCGAAGTTGAAGTTTAATCGTACCAGCTAAAACCACGGCCACCCACGAGTACCTTAATAGATCGGCTAGGTAGGTACATGTACAGAAACATTCAACGCACACTTGACCGGTTTCAAATTTTGGTGATTCATGAGAATTTGCTCTTCTTGATTCACTAATAATCCCAGTTAGCGTCATGTCATCACATGGAAATTACTTCATTTGATGCGTCTGGAATCCATATCAAGTCGATATGCCGTTAGCTCAGCAGCTCCAGATTGCCGTTTGTAGCCAAGCCCGCCGCTAGAATGCTCTGAAGTCTTCCGCTGAGGTGAGGCCGGCCCCACCTCAATTGGACCTCAGCGGCAGATTCTTTTCGGCTGCTGCATCCGCTATCGCCAGCCTTGCGATTTGCACAGCCGGCAACAGCAGCAAATAAAAATGTTACGACAGAGCCCGCAGCTGCTATCACATCTCCAGGTACAGAAACAGCCATTGGTATCACGGAAGACACGTTGGCAACCGCTAACTCTGGAACTGCAGGCCGCTGTGCCATGGGCTGCTAGAAAGACCCCAGCACTGGGGTAAGTGGACTATCCATCCGTCGATTCAAGGCGGATTTCCATGTGTCGCAACAATGCTGTGGCAATACTGACTGACAACCTCAGGTGCTTGATTAGCAAACCTCTGTCGAGAAACTACTCCTCTGTCCAATCCAAAAAAGAAGTCCGCAATAGTGAGCCGAAGCTGCGACACCCACGCTCTCTCCAGGCGATTCACCTCAAGCCGCTGAAGCGCGAGGCTCAATACGGCGTCCCCTCGTGCGATCTCCAGCTGCGATCATTCAGCTTGCAACCCCTCCAATTCTTCTCAGACTTTGCGCTGCGAGCCGCATACTACCTGGGCCTTCCCGCCTCAGGCCCAGTAACACTACCCCGAATCACAGAGCGATGGACCGTGCCCAGGAGTCACTTCATCTTCAAGAAGTCGCAGGAGAACTTTGAGCGTGTGACGCTGAGGCGCTTGATCCAGATTAAAGACGGCGATCCCGAGACGGTCCAGCTTTGGCTTGCGTATCTGCGCAAACATCAGTTCTATGGTATTGGTATGAAGGCAAACGTGTGGGAGTTTGGTCCAACAGAGATGTCCAAGTCTCTCAAGGATATTGAAGCAGGGCAGGACGCTCCTTGGGCTCATCTTGGACAAATAAAAGGCATTGGCGCAGCTGAAAAGGTGGCAGATATTCTGAGCGCTCGGCGGGTAAAGAAATCCGCTGATGACAACTTTCCCATCCACGAGATATCATAGGAAGAGAGAAGGGATAAAAAAAATAAAAATACCCATGACAGTTAACCTGCGCAAGTTCATACAATCTCGACAAGCGACTGGGAATTCGTTGCCCGCATCTCATATGATAGGGGAGATGTCAATTACAGCACCTATTCAGCTCAATACCTATGAAAAATATTATACTTGAAAAAATACTTGGAGACAAATAAAGCCCTTATTTACGCTACTATTGCTTTATTCAGCTTACACTATTTTACTTTTTCTGGGACATCTAGACTAGTACTATATTAGAACATGTTTTTTGGTACCTAGACTTGAGGTTTTATCTCTGTTCCCTCTCCTTATGCTGTACCACCACGCCCTCCAACACCCCATTTTGCCTGCGCCTCAACAACATCAGCCTTAATAGCCGGCAGCTCTCTACCTCGTTTGGTTGGCCACGCTAGGAAATTAGTTTCAGCGAGGTATCTTAAGAAGCGGCCAACAGCTTCTCTACTAATGCCCTCTCCAGCACTCTCATCAACACCTGTCCACCGGTCTGCATCAGCCTTGAGGACAGCAACAGCATTGCGATCATCTAACTCCGGCGCGCGAGTGTTTGTGGGGAGATTGTTCGTCACCATGTGGAAAAGAGGCATTAGAGCGTTCTGTTCCTCGTCTTTCTGGATAGGACCTGCCGAGACAAAGGTCTCGAGCTGGGCCTTCCAGTGGTCGTAGTCCACCTCAGGAACATCGTAGCCGTAGTAGGTCAGGATGGAGAGATACTCGTTCATGCGCAGGCGAGGATGGGCAGTGACGTGGATGACGCGGACACCGACGTCGCCGCTGCCGCTGCCGCTGTTTGCAGTCTGGGCTGGGACAGGGTTTAAGCTGGCTGCGACGACGACAGTAGAGACGTGGCCAACAGGCACGGCGTTGATTGTGTTGATTATGTGCGGACGGCTAGACAGCTGGATACAGCCTTTGAGCATGCGGATAAGAAAGTCGTCGTTGTTGCACACACCGGTGGCAGCGTCTCCAAGGATATAACCAGGTCGGACGACAGATCCGAGGAGGCCGCGTCTGCCAGCCTCACGGACAAGCTGTTCAGATACCTGTGGTCCGTCAGAATGTGCATGTTACTTGATGCAAAAAGAGGTCTGTGGAAAGCTACTTACCCATTTGGTCTGGCCGTATCCGGTGCCGAGACCGCTGCGACTGCCCATCATGTCATCTGCTTCCATGACAGCGCCTTGTCCAGTGCTGGTCTGCTCTTGTGACAGGTTGATATAGTAATCCGTGTCTAGAACGCTTGTTGAGCTAACGAATGAGAAAAGCTTAGGCTTGCCCTGGTTACAAAGCCGCATGGCATCGATTGTTGATAGAACATTGCTACGCTCGAGATGCTTATACTGCTTTACCCAGTGGACGAGTGCGCCGTTGTGGATAACCACATCGACAGCGTCGCCAAGCATCTTCCATGTGTCGTCATCAAGTCCAAGACGCGGCTGTGCCAGGTCACCAATGACTGCGCTGAGCCTAGTGGCCCAAGAATCCTGCCATACACTGTATCCACGGAGTGACTTCTGGAGCCGCTCGAGGGCGGCCGAGACGCCCTTTGTTCCACGGATATGGGCAATGACGTGAACGTTCTCACGCTCGAGCAAATCCTTGACGATGAAAGAGCCCAAGAAACCCGTGGCGCCAGTCACAAAGACGGTCGTCTTGCCTGCCGGCGAGAGTGTCGCAGGGTCCGCCGCCTGATACTTGGCATCGAGGCTACCGAGCAGCTTGTCGAATGATTGGGCATATTCAGCTTCGCCGTGCTCTGTCGCGCCTGAATCGCCCTTGCCCTCACGCTGGCGGTCAATCTGTGCGCTGAGAGCCCTGAGGGATGAGTTCGAGTACAATGAGCTGATGGACATGTTGGTCCCCAGATTCTTGCGGATATTGAGAAGAAGTTGCTGGGCCAGCAGACTGTGTCCGCCGCTTTCAAAGAAATCAGACTCTGGCCGCAGAGTCTTGGCATTCAAACCATTGACCAGTGTTGCCCACTGCTCCGCCAGTTCCTTTTCGGTGCTGCTGAGCGTTTCCCATCTCTTCAGATCCTCCTCTGAAGCCTCTTCAGAGATCAGGGCCGCATCCGGGAACGGCAGGTTTGGGCTGTCAACTTTGCCATTGGGGTTCAATGGCATCTTCTTCAGGAAGATAAAATAAGTTGGCACAGCGTGAACTGGCAATCGAGACTTGAGGTGATCCCGAACCTCCGCTTGCATTGGCCGATAGCGCTTAGAATACACGGTGACGAGTCCAATCTCGGTGCCCAGCTCCTCAGTGTCTTCCAGGCTGTGTTCTGCTAGCCACTTGAGCCACTCTTGGTGTTCAGGCACAATGTAGCTGACCAGCGTTGGCTCTTCGTTCCGATCTCTTCGAAGCAGCGTCTTGCACTCGCGGACTAGATGATGTCCTCTCAAGTTGCTATCAATCTCATTGAGCTCGATGCGGAAGCCACGGACCTTGACTTGATCATCAGCTCTGCCTGTAATTGCGCAATTACCAGAATCGTCCAAAAAATACCCCAAGTCGCCGCTCCGGTATATTCTATCTCGCGGGCCTTTGTAATACTTTCTCCAGGGCTCGTTGGCGTGATCGGCAGCTTTGTGATCAGCCTCAACCCACTTCTGGTTGTCGACGAACCAGTTGTCAAGAAACTTTTCCTTGGTTTTCTCCGGGTCGTTCAGATATCCGTAAAGTCGAATATTAGCAAGACTCTATTGGAAAAACAAAGGGGAGACCTATCTCGGCTAACCCTGCTGCTCTCAGCATTATCTCACCGACCTCACCGACGCCGCAAAGCTTGGTTGGATCTTCCCGGTTGACTACGAGGAGCTGGACGTTCTCAATGCCCTTTCCGGCAGGAACAATATCGCCAAATTGATTTAATGCATTCGGATCTTCGGCGTGACTCTTGATGTGGTAGTATGATACGCTGCGGCTCGTCTCAGTGGTACCATACGCAGCGCAGATCTCCGCGTTGGGCGCCAGCTTGCGGAGCGCAGCGCAATCCTTCTTGGTCAGAATATCACCAACGTAAAGAACCCACTTCAATGAAGGGAACTCTGCCTTGGCACCGCCGCACAAGATTTGGCCCATCGCGGGCGTCAAATGGACTGCATTGGGTTTTTGGTCGCGGAACCACTCAGCCAACCTTTCATGGGCGATATTCTCGCGAGCAGGGCATATTAACTCCCCGCCCATGAATAACGGACTGAAAATGTCCCGCTGGATAGGATCATGGCTTATACCACTATTATTGGTTAGTAGAGTTATGACGGATATCATCTTTGAAAGGGTTTACCTTAGACAAGCAAACTTTGTGTCCGAGGTCCAGTTGAAAGTTTTGGCCATCCACGGGAAGTACTTGGTCAAGCTGTAATGTCTGCCCAACACGCCCCTGGAAATAGTCAGCTAATGTCCGAAGTGTAAGAATTGCTGGATCTCGTACTTGGGTGTGGATGTCGTGCCACTGGTAAAGCTCAGGATGCTCGTTGAGTCCGGTCCCACTAGAACATCTGGAGGCGCTGATGCTTTGCTTGTAGTGTCGGTAAAGACTTCCTTTCCGTCAACTTGGCCACCGGTAAGGAGGCCATCATCGCTCATCCGTAGCTCGGGTACTCGTATCTTGAGACGTAGTTCCTCGTCAATGTACTTCTGCACGCGCGGCGCGAAAGCACCATTCTCATCCCTGGCTCTGCCAATCGTGATCAGGGCTTTTGGTTGTGAGACTTCGAGATAGACCTGTTGCCTCGCCGGGGGGTACGCGGGGTCTAGGACAGTAATCGTGGCACCGGCAGCAAGGGTTCCCATGAAGGCGATGACGAGTTCGACGGAACGGTAGGCATAGATCATGACGACATCGCCATTGGTGATGCCAGCTTCGTGGAGCTGGTTGGCCAAGATGTTGGACGCCTCATAAATCTGCTTGTAGTTGAATCTCCTCTCGGGCGTGGTGGAGGAGGCCGTTTCCGTGACGCACGGCGCGTCAGGCTTCTTCAATGCATTCTTGTGGAATATCTCGTGGATGGCGCCGATGTAGCCGCTCCAGTCGAGGCCGATGGTGGGATCGGGAAGCCCCATGGCGGCATCAGCAGTATGGCAGGATTTATACTGGGTGGGAAGGCGCCTCGTAGCGAATGCTTCCCTGGAGCGTAGTCCAAGCTAATATCCTGGAAAGAGTCGTGTCTATTGGAAAGGTAAAACAACAATGACGAGCTCGAAAATGACGAAGAATTCTGCCACACTCCGATCTTCGGGGGAGGGGCACTTTTTTTTACGGTAGGCGGTCACTAGCAACCCCTCACCCTACTGGTCCGACAGTTTCCTAATAGAGAAATCAATTAATCTTGCATTTCGTTGAGCGTCGTGAGGGAGTCCTTTGCGTCCTCTCATAGTCACTTTCGATCCAGCCAGCAGCTATTAGGGTTGCAAATCAGGGGTTTTTTCATTTTTTATTTTTCGTTTCTTACTCAAGATACAATAACGACAATCTGTTCCATTTCTGTGCCTGAACAATCATAATATAATAACAAGTATGTATGCTAGGCATATACATATAGGGTCACAGCTTACCCAAGCCAAATCGAGCCCAACTCCATTTTCAAGGCTAAATGCCAAATCCGGCCTACATATTAGTTGGACAACGGCGGCGATACCGCAGCAGTCATCTACATCTCCCCTGTCTAAAAATAGGCCGTACGGGTCTGATTGCAAACCATTTTATTTATTAGACAAGCTTTTTTTTTTTTTGTTTATCTTTTATCTTGTAAACCCGGCATCTCTGAATCACGACCTCCAGAATGCCCTTCTAGTTTTGCTTACCTATATTAATATTTCTCAGGCAACGCCTTCGCATACATTCCTGCTTTTTACACTGACCAAAACCCTATACTATTTATTGGGGCCTTTTTTAAAATCGAGTGATCATAGCCTCGCGGTCCGGGCCGGTACCAACCCACTTGATCTACACATTGTCAATCTACATCTTTATCGGAAAAATCATCTTGAAGAAACAAAAACGTACCTTGACTCCAACAAATTCCTCAATGAACTAGTCAAACAAGTTAGCGAGATCAAGAATTCTAGGTAAATGCGACATTTCTAACCAAGATGTAGTCTTGAGCCTCCTTGGGAAGTTCTTCAAAGGTCTTCACGTTGGTAGTCGACTGGTTCCAGCCAGGCATCTCGTGGTAGATGACCTCGGCACGGTCGAGAACATCCAATGATGCGGGATACGATTCGAGCTTCTGCAAAGGATTAACATTTATCATTTCAATGCTTAATAAGAGCTCAGAATCTCACCTCGCCGGTCTCGGGGTCTTTGTACGCAATGGCGATCTTGATTGTCGGGAAAGTGTCCAGGACATCAAGCTGAGGATTGAGTTAGTACACGCTCCTATAGTCAAGAATCAAGAAACGCAATATTTTACTTTTGTGAGGTTCAGCGCCGTATAGTGGTTGACGTCCTAGTACACGTTAGACATCCGCAATAGGGTTTTCGCACAGTGAATAGGCCATCTATACCGTGGTGTATTTGACGACGACGAGATCTACAAGACTCTAGTCAATAACAGGCTCAAGATATCATGAAATCACGATGGAGAGAGCACATACCGAGCCTGTTTCAGTTAGTAAACCATCCAACACGAGTTCTTAGACGGATCAATGCTTACCAGCCGCAACGCCGTCTTCGGCCAGTTGAAGTACCCTGAGGCCAGTCAGCTGCGTTCATATCAGCTAGATGGAGGAATGAAGCTTTACCCATTCTCGACCCTGTTCCTGAAGCTTTTTGCCGACCCTGTCGGGATGGTTAGCTCTCTTCGCGTGCTAAGAATGAACAATACCGTACTCTCCGAGATCCTCAGTCTTGAACGCTCCAAAGCCGACACGAGTGGTGTAGGCCTTGACCACGCCAACAACCTCACCAATCTTCCTGATGTCAAGAGCAAGTCCAGTTACCATGCCACCGATGCTATTCCAAGTAAGTGACCAAATCCATTAGTTATTGGGGTGAATGAGGGACATCTGCCTCCTCTTGAATGGTACGAACCCGGTAGAACTGCTAGTCACGTATGGGTACTAGACAAAGTCAACAAATACCCGCCCAAAATTGCATTTCTTGTCATAAAGAGCGGCAGGACTTGAGCCACTCCGATAAGCTTGACTTACTGAGCCCCAATCAAGATCCAGCATGAGAGCTAACAAGGTCAGCACATCTGAATAGGGGTAATGGCATGAGGGGCTATCTGGCCTACCATTTGCTCCTTCGCAGAGGATCTTGGTATTCTTTGCCTGTGCGTCCTTCATGAAAGCAATTGCGTCGACAGTATATTTGCGAAGCTTGGGTCGGTACTCGTTGAATCGGGCGATTTCTTCCTCAACATCGTACTTGAGCAGGTCGCCATATCGCTTCTGGTAGCCTGATGCAAGTCGTCGGAGCTTCGAGTCAAAAAGTTCGGCATTGAAGACCTCTGCGAGTCTGATACCGCTTCGCTATATCTGGTTCAGTAAAACTGCCCCATCCAACCATATCATTCGACCTGGGTCCTTACCGCCGCTTTCGTGCTGTAGGCAGGACCAATTCCGCGGCCTGTCGTTCCAACCTTGCGGTCTAAGTGATGGGAGTAAGCATATATAACTGGCCCGTACTATTGATGTAGCTAATCACCTCCAAGTTCCACTTCTTCCAAGCCGTCAACGGCAACGTGGAGGTCCAGATCAATGTGGACTCGGTCGCTGATGAAGATTCGATCGTGGACGCTGGTATATGGTAAGCATGATCACTGACAATCGAGAAAATTACTAGGCTAGTAGTACTTTTCCAGCCCTTTGCGCTCCAATTCCTCTAATTCCGAAAAAAATGAGGGCTATTCGGTGCATTAGCCAAGTTCTTGACTGTGGATCAAGTATCTTTGGAGTACGAACAATGTGAGCCACGACGGCAGAGCCGATAAGGTTTCGGCTTTTGACAAGATAATTAGCATATTATATATGCCGTAAATTGCCAAATTATGAATGCATACCAGTTGGGATTGACCAGGCCGGAAGGAAGCAGATGGAAGCTAGAAGCCGTAATGAGTACTTGCGCCGTGACGAAATGTCTCCAGTTTGCGCATACCTGTACGACACGCCATTGGCACTATTGCAGCTGTGGTCAGCAACTCGTGATCAAATATATTGCTATGAGGATAGCTTCAGCTCACACAATGGAACTACAGATCGATTAGCATTGTTTCATATGTCAAGTATATTTAGGATTGGTTGCTCACTGGCCGGCATTGTGACCCCCCTAGATCTCGTCTCAGCTTGTATTCTTGTTATAGACGTCTTATATAAAGTCGGCTTAGGGCAAGGCTCACAGCAGCTCGCGCGCAAAGTTGCGCCTCGGGGGCAAGGATGTCGGTCAATTTTCCTTTCTACCATGTTCCCATTGTTAGTTGCAGGCGCATCGGAATAATAGGAATTTGTAGATGGTCGTACACCTTCGTCGCCTGCAGAGTCGCAATCACGTCAACACACATTACGATGTCGGTTGCTCGGGGACACAAAAGAAGAGGTACGAACCCCATTGGGCGCCCAGCTTTGGAAAATTTGATGTCAATCCGTATTCTTCATAGTTTACCAGGTTTCAGCAGCTTACAATGATCGTAGCCATGGCTGGTTCGGGATCTGATTGCAGAATTCGCTGGCTTGAAAGATGCAAGTAGATTTGACGCATGTGCTAAAGCGGCCATTTGAGTCACTGCAGCTTTCTTCTATGTAGTGGGGCTTATCTTATCGCACCGCAGCTGCAAAGCCCCGCCAACAAATTTCATCACTTGCGATCCGCAGAATCGGAGCCCCACGTGCCCGCCATGTCATAGTTTTTCGATTATATTGCCTATCAGAGCTATTGATATTTTTATTTACAAGAATTTTACCGATGTCGGAGTACGGTCGCGAGTGATTTAACGCAGCGGTTGGTTAATCACTGAATACAAAAAATAAAGTTATTTTCCCCCTTGAATTCGAGTGGACTCAATTGAGTATCGTGATGTTTTTTTAATTCAACTCCCGTGATGTAATTCACGTTAGTTTATGTTTTAGCAAGAAAAGAACATTACCTACTGTCTTAGTCCATGATATGGCTTAGAATCCTTACAAAGCACAATTGGTTTCTAGGAACATGTCATGTCAAATCTTAGGATGGCATCCAGAAATGCACTAGCATCCAGAGCCTAGCGTACTATGGGGTGCTTCTTATCGATATCGGCTCTCTTCAACAATCAGGCTATACGCAACAATTTCATCGCGGTGCAGTCAGTGAGCACATGCATCAACGCTTCTCATCATGCTGCTTTCTCGTGCGTTGAGGCCAATACAGCTTTCTTCGGGGCTTGCGGCACGGCCAATTGCCTTGTGTAGGCGCTGTATCTGGTCAGCAGCAACAGCGAGCTCTAGAGGCCATCCGCTGAGACGAGACAAGTAAGGAATTCTAAGCAGAACCATGTGTTCATGGCTATATACATTCCCACCCCATTACTGTTTGTATTTGACATCCCAACTGACGTGTCAATTCTCTTCTCGTAGCCCGGCTGTACCGTACAAATCTCTCGTTATCAAGCGCCTCAACCACCAAGCAGGCAGCAACACCGATAAAGAAGTGGCAGAGAAACAAAAGCCCACCCCGGCCGTCCACGAGGACATATACACGATACCAAATTTCCTGACCGTGACACGAATAGCTGCAAGCCCCGTCATAGGGTACCTCATACTACAAGATGCGAATACCTGGGCCGTGGGCTTGCTGGCATATGCTGGCTTATCAGATTTGGTCGACGGGTGGATAGCGAGGAGATGGAACCGCAGAACAGTTGTAGGCACCATCATCGATCCAATGGCGGATAAAATTCTCATGACAATATTGACGGTGTGCCTGGCCGTCAAGGGAGCATTGCCAGGTACGTGGAACGCGAATCATGAAGTCATGAAATACTAATTGATTGACATCTCTTTTATCAGTGTGGGTTGCTAGCATTATCCTTGGCAGGGATGTCGGACTGGCTATTTCAGCCATTTACTGGCGCTGGGTTTCATTGCCGCCGCCCAAAACGTTTTCACGGTACTGGGATTTCTCACTGCCATCAGCCGAAGTCCGACCCACCACAATCAGCAAATACAACACCTTTCTTCAGTTAGCCTTGGTTGGTCTGACAACCGCAGCGCCGATTTTGAGCGTTGACTTGGCGCCGACACTCACAATTCTGCAGTAAGTCTTGGGCAATCATCTTGTCATTCGGGCGTGTTTTGTGTCTCACAAGGAAATGCAGATATATCGTGGCTACTACCACCATTTGGAGTGGAGCAAGCTATATTTTCTCAAAGGATGCCATCAAGATCCTGAACAAGCCTTGAGTTATGCAAATGCGTGTATCTATCTATACACTTAGCAGGCGAACCCGTAATATTGTAAAACACACCAAAGCATGCATGAATAAAGAATGAGAAAGCTACATGTTCAGACGAAATAGGGAAATAGAACAAGCCGTACCAACCAATGAAAAAGAAGATACCAATAAGAAGCTCCAGTGATATGGATTTGTTTGCCATTTCCTAGGTAGGTATCTGATAGAGCTCCCTCTGCTGGACTGTTTCCTATCACGTGGCAGACCTCTTCGCGGCTGGCGGGTCTATTTAATTCCACTTTTAACGTCTACTAAGCTAAGCTACTCCGTGCCGACGCAGCGCGCGCTTCTAACTCGCCGTTCGACTCTAAACTCTGAAAGCTTTACTAATTGGGCACATGGTAGCGTGAAAGCTGCCTTCACTCTCAACCTGCATTTCTTCACTCGACTGCGGCAAGGCTTCACGCAGAGCACCGGTGCAAAATGAGATTTAAGATAGAGTACGCTTTTCCAATGCACGATGCGTCTATGGAAGCTCATGCGTGACTAGTGATTTGCCTGTGTTATTTCCTTATCCAAGGATCTATCCAGGTATGTTCCCGTCGCCCCCATGCACGCCATTTGCGGTGTAGCTAACATTCCCAATGAACAATATGCGTGAGTTGATTTGTGTAGATTCTTCTTTTCCATACCGGCTGACCACTGGGAAACTTCATCAGCTACATGTGTGATCTGAAAAGTATGGCCCGGATTCCTGCATGTGTGACCAGCGACTTACAGAATCACAGAAACGCTCGATGCGGGTGGCCATTGTGTCTTGGAGATGCCGTCAGGGACCGGCAAGACCGTGTCTCTGCTGTCCCTCATTGTTGCGTACCAGCAGCATATGCCCGAGAAGCGAAAACTCATCTACTGCTCTCGTGAGTGGCCCTCACGGCGTCTCACCGATCACCGATCACCGATCACCGATGGAGCAATGCTGACCTGGCCTGCAGGAACAATGTCGGAGATCGAAAAGGCTCTAGTCGAGCTGCAGTCTCTAATGAAGTATCGCGCCGAGGAGTTGGGTTACGAAGAAGAGTTCCGCGGCCTTGGTCTGACAAGTCGAAAGAACTTGTGCCTGCATCCCTCTGTCAAGAGGGAAAAGAGTGGCTCAGTTGTTGATGCCCGTTGCAGAAGTTTGACTGCGGGCTTTGTCAAGGAAAAGAAGGATCGTGGTGAAAATGTGGATGTCTGCGTCTATCACGATGTATGTCCGTTGCTTTCGTTGGCATTTGAGTCGACAGCGTTTGAGTCGATTAACCCCAAGCTAACGTCATCTAGAATCTTGATCTCCTTGAACCCCATAACTTGATACCCAACGGCGTATGGTCATTTGACGCGCTCCTGAAATATGGAGAAGAGCACAAGCAATGTCCATATTTCACTGCACGACGCATGGTATGTAGTACACCTTATCTAACCTTTACACTGGAAGAATGGCTTCTGACATTGACAAATAGATGCAATATTGCAATGTAGTCATTTTCTCATATCACTACCTCCTCGATCCAAAGATTGCCGAGCGTGTCACAAAAGACTTTTCCAAAGACTGCATCGTAGTCTTTGATGAAGCTCACAACATTGACAACGTCTGCATCGAGTCACTTAGCACTGACATCACTGAGGACTCAATACGCAAAGCTACCCGCAGCGCCCAACACCTGGAGCGACGAATTGCCGAGATGCGAGAGACGGATCAAGAGCAGCTTCAGAATGAATACGAAAAGCTTGTTCAGGGGCTTCGCGAAGCGGATGAATCAAGGCAGGAGGATGCCTTCATGGCCAATCCAGGTAAAGTGACGCCGTTTCCATCTTGGATTATAGATTATAAGGAATAAATAACCAACAGAATATCAAAGCTTTGCCCGATGATCTTCTAAAAGAGGCTGTTCCTGGGAACATCAGGCGAGCCGAGCATTTTGTGGCCTTTTTGAAAAGATTTCTGGAATATCTCAAGGTCAGTTTGGTTATTTCTTATCCAACTCAAGTCTGCTCTCCTCACTGACATGTCTCTACTTTAGACGAGAATGAAGGTCCGCCAAGTCATCTCGGAAACGCCGCTATCATTTTTGGCTCACTTGAAAGAGCATACTTTTATCGAGAGGAAGCCGCTGCGCTTTTGCGCTGAGCGGCTAACATCGCTTGTCAGGACCCTTGAGCTTATGAATATCGAAGACTACCAAGCACTTCAAGAAGTAGCAACATTCGCCACTCTCGTTGCGACGTATGAGAAGGGCTTTTTGCTGATTTTAGAACCATACGAATCCGATACCGCCGAAGTTCCTAACCCAACCCTTCATTTTACCTGTCTTGACGCCGCCATCGCCATCCGACCCGTGTTTGAAAGGTTCTACTCGGTCATCATAACCTCTGGCACCATCTCTCCCCTCGAAATGTATCCTAAAATGCTGGATTTTGCCACGGTGATACAGGAGTCCTATAGTATGACTCTCGCGCGGAGATCCTTCCTTCCGATGATTGTAACTCGCGGAAGCGACCAAGCTTCGGTCTCGTCTAGCTTTCAGGTTCGGAATGAACCCAGTGTCGTTCGAAACTACGGTAATCTCTTGACGGAGTTTGCCAAGATTACCCCCGACGGCTTGGTTGTCTTCTTCCCGTCATATCTATACATGGAATCCATCATTAGCATGTGGCAGGGCATGGGCATCCTCGACGAGGTTTGGAAGTACAAATTGATCTTGGTGGAAACCCCTGACGCACAGGAAACATCGCTGGCCCTGGAAACCTACCGAACTGCGTGCTGCAACGGAAGAGGAGCAATCTTGCTTTGCGTCGCTCGAGGAAAGGTATCTGAGGGCATCGACTTCGATCACCAATACGGCCGAACTGTGCTGTGTATCGGGGTTCCATTCCAATACACAGAATCACGAATCTTAAAAGCAAGATTAGAGTTTTTGCGAGAGACATACCGCATCAAAGAAAACGACTTCTTGTCCTTTGATGCCATGCGCCACGCTGCCCAATGTCTGGGCCGTGTCTTGCGAGGCAAAGACGACTACGGAGTCATGGTACTGGCCGATCGACGTTTCCAGAAGAAGAGAACCCAGCTGCCGAAATGGATCAACCAGGGCTTGTCGGACGCCGATACGAATCTGAGTACCGACATGGCCGTCAGCAGTGCCCGACGATTTCTAAAGACCATGGCACAGCCGTTCCGGAGCAAAGACCAAGAGGGCATCAGTACCTGGGGATACGAAGACCTGATGCAACACCAGAGAAAGATTGAAGAGGAGAGGGGAGATGAGCCTCCTCCTCCTTCAATGGCAAATGCACGGGCGGCAGCGAATGACAACAGGACTACTACGTATGAGTCTGATTATGAAGATATAGATCAGGATATGATGGAATTGGAAGGCTTTTAGGGATTTGGAACGTGCAGAATGTTAAGAGGTCAAACAAAGGGATCTAATTTTCAGGCTACCCAATTGCCTCTTCTATATTTCCTTCTTTCTTTCTTAGAGTCTGGGTCATGATAAGTCTATACATTAATCATTCGCTAATTAATCATTGCGGCAATCCGATCTATATCCCATCGTATCGATTTTTTTAAATCAGATCATGGTTCTCTAGATCCATGACGACTTTTTCCATTCTAAACCGCTAAAATCTCACAAAATGGCAGACGTGAATAACAACCGTATACTTCGCAGTGGCACTTGCCATTTACCATACCAACGCAAAAAAAAAAGAGAGAGCCAGAGTGGAGGAGGGGGTATTATAAAAAACACATGTTAACCGTGCCAACCTGGTCGAATCATCTCGTGGTGGGTATAATGCGCTTCGAAGCCTTGACAGCCCTCATAGCAGGCAGCGTATTTGCCCTGCCGGGTTTCCTGCCAATCTCAATGCACAGCATCCGGATAAAATCCGTATTGCTCCAATAGCTGCTATGAGCGCTCAGCATGTTCAGATACTGAATCTCCAGCGGACCGCCACCGGATCGGATAAACCAGTCAATCTGGCCGTTGTCATTAAGAAGAAAGGCCTTCTTCTCAGCAATTTCCTCTCTGGTAAAGTCGTGGACTTCGAGTTCCAGCTGAGAGGGCAGGCGAACTGTCGACGGGCGGCCATCGCCAGTCGTGGACGTGGTCGGATTGCCACTCCTGCCCATGACAGCGTTACGCATAGCATCGCCAACCGATTTGAAGAAGGAAGCCGAAGAAGTAGGCACATATGCTGTTTTGAGGCTGGCCGCATATGCCGGGTCTACCGTCCCGTTGAGCAAGTAGGCAATGGGATCCTCCTTGGCAAGGATGTTGTAAATGTTGTCTACGGCCAAGCATCCAAACATGCCAGTGTCGCCCCCAACATTTTCGGCCTTGACCTCGTTCTCATCCATGCCAGGTTTGACGCGTCCCCGTCGCGGTGTAAGAGCTCCTCGCTCGAGTAACAAGAAGAATCCAGTGGGGCTTCCCATCAGGAAGAGATTCCGCGTATCGAACTCGAAGTATTTGGTTTTTGGCTCCAGCCGCAAAAGATCGAGCGGTGGCAGATCCGTTGGCTGCCGTGACAAGACTTCCACCGCCATGACGCTGCCAAGAGAGTGCGCAACCAGATGGACACGTCCATTTTCTGCAAAGCCGGGGTTGTTTCTGCACCAAAGGCGGTAAATCCGGTTCGCCTCCTTGACGAGAGCTGCAATCATCTTTCCCTTGTGGTGAGACATGTAGAAGGGGATATCGAACATGACATCCGATATCATGCTCCGTATGGCCGGAATGGTGTTGGGCTCAATGTCCTTGAGGCCAAAAGCTTGTGCTGCGGCCGAGTCATTTGTCTCCATTCCCGTTTGGAGAGTGCCACCATCTTCAAACGACAGGCCGATTCTCCAGTTCAGGGGCAAAACCATGAGTCTGCTTTGGCTGTTATCCAAAACTTCTTGCACCGCCGGATTCTGAAACTCGCTGTCAACCATTCGACGGAAGCTATTGACAGCGTGCGTAAAGTGATAGCTTTCAACCCTCTCAGCAATCTTTTGGCCAATTCCGTGAGCGACCAGCACCAAGTCTGTCACTTGACTGCGGTCTTTATCCGCTTCACAAGCAGGGCAGATTTCCACTGCACTGCCATCAGAGGCGTTATGAGATGCCGGTTTGACATACTGTACCTGCTTCCCACGGTGCATGCGTTCCCAGCTCAGTCTATCGAATCCTCGGACCACTGGAATACCCACAGTCCCTCCTCTCATGATCTTCTGAAGAGGCCGCCTACCGTAATACGCAGATGGCTGTAAGCTCGGCTTCAACAAAAAGGCATTTGTTTGGTCCTTGTACAAGACACTGTAACTAGAGTAGGGGCGCTGTGGTGCAGTCTCGGAAGCCTCGTCGTCTATCTGCTGCGGCCCGAGGGAGCCTTCTGTCGCAGCTTCGCCTTGGAAGCAGTGTGCAGCACAAAACGGATGTGCGGAAATAGCAGGCTCTATTGGTAGGAAGGAGGTTCGATACTGTCCATCGCCTTCAACCGGCCATAGTCGATGAGACACCTTTTCCTCTCCTGAGGCCCCAACTTCAATAGCACACCGTACTTCGTCACGCCAAGTTTCTGCCCAGGGGCGCAGTTCCTGGTATCCAGCTTCGAGCTGATTAGCAACTGCTGGGGGGACCGGCAGCATTGTATCTCTGCGAAGGGGGTTAGCAGCTTATAAAACAAATAAAGAAAAGGGCTAGGGAACAAACTTGTAGAACCATGTGCCTCTCGTTACAATAGCGATGTCGTTGACTGGCGACCAGTATATGGGCTCCATCTGTAACGTGTGCAATGATACCTTGTGCAATCTAGCCAGTCCAACTACGACGTCCTTGTTTTCCTCGTCGGGATCCGGAGTGGTGTCCTCTATTCGAGTCAACGGCTCTGCTACTACTTGATCGTTCTCCTCGGCAAATTTGTCGCTGGTTTGAGGCGGTTTTAAAGTTGAAACATCACTACGTTGCTGTTTTGCTTCTGGAATCTGCTGTGGTTGCTCTTCAGGCTCCAATGCCCTCACAAATGGTCTCCCGGAAATGCCATCATCAGGTACAGGAACTAGTCCAGAGGCTTTGAGCTCTCGAGACAGTCGATTCTGTGACGTTTGAGCCGCGCGAGACGCATCAGTCAAACGCTCCTGGGGGAAAGCCGATGCTTGTTTGTAAGAGTCACTACGAGGTTTCAAGTTCATGTGCTCTCCATAGGATGATGATATAGCACTGTCAGAAGGAGAGGCGCGTCCCGTGGAGATGCTGGCCTCTCTATCACGAGTTAACAGATGGTGGCGTATGGGGATGTTCCGGTTGCTGCCAGCGGCGGTTCTAAGCTCGTGGTGCTGGTTCATGACGGCAATAACATCCTTTACAATCTCATCAACAGTAAATAGTTGATTCGTCTTTCTGACTAACGTACAAAATTGTGTATCAAGCTTTTCTAGGATGTCGGCGGTGAGTCTGGGGCAGCAGGCTGTAAGCAGTGTCTCTGGGAGCGTCTCGGCGGCTTGTGTCGTCGAAGTTCGCGTCTGGGGATCAACCCGGTGGATGCGGATATGCTTCGAGGCCAGTTCTCGGATGATTTGATCGCGTCGTTCCATGTCAGACTTGACAGCGGCCGGGCCAGGCTCTCGGCCGCCTCTGATGGCGTCATGCTGGATACGGTGACTCTCCGACATGAGGCCCAGCCAGGCCTGCTGAAGCACGTCGTTGTCATCGTGGGAGAACGGGCGGAGCGGCGCCTTAGATTTGGAGTCTGCGCCGCCAGCAGGAGCGGTGCTGGACAGCGGATCGTCAATGGGGAACAGGGACGTGTAGAAGAACTGCGCATTGATGCAGGGGGCTCCATCGTCCTTGTCGGCGTCTGGCGTGGGACGGAGGCGACAGGCAGCGCCCAGAGTGTGCTCCATGGGTGCGTAGATGCGTGGATGCGGCGATGAGGGTGCGCAGAAGCAGCAACAAAAACATCAAGAGACAAGAGTGTGGAGGAGTGAAAGAGGCCGGCACTCGCCTGCGATGCTCGGCCGCGGTGCCATGGAGCGAGCTGAATCGATGCAAGGCTGCTGCTGCTGCGTGCAGCCTCGAAGCACGTTGAAGGGGCATGACGATGGCTAGCGTGGCGGAAGCACATGGGCCAAAGGGCTGGCTGAGAGGCCACTATGACGTGGCTGATTATGCAGGCGGCAGCAGTGGGAGGAACAGCGGCCCCCTACTGCTATAGTGGGTTGCTACAGTGGCTAGGCTGCTGTACCCGCTAGATAGGCCGCGGCCTGTTGCGGATAGGGCCGTACAGTAGGCAGCTTCACAGCCCTCACTTAGTTGAGGTGATCTGGATGGCTGCCTACAGCCAAGGTCACTACTCGGTATATAACTTGATGTATATATGTAAACTTCAAACATTGTTTTTAATCAGATCAAGTCTTTTTGAGACATTTACTTTGTGGTACTGTTGAACCTCCCATGTAGGTATTGTCGAGGTACAGCTCAGCTGCTCAACAGCTTATGTCATCCAGGGTTGCAGCACTAACATCGGCACTAGCAGCCTTCCGGGATCTCACCGGCGGCCGGCGCTGCAGTCAAGTGACACCTGGTGCATGATAAGCAGGGGCGCCTTGTCGTGTGCCAATAATCCGGGGCACAGCACAGCACAGCTACCTCTACGGCTCGCTCTCCCTTCTCGTCTCACCATCATTCTCCGTCTCCTACATCTCAAAGCCGCTCTTTTTCAACTCCAATCCATCCGAACGATCTCGGGTCCCTGCGCGACGAAGTCTTTGTTACTCGAGAAACCACATCAGCCAAGATGGCGGTTTCCCGAGGCACCGTGCCATTTCTCGTGGCCATGATGCTGCTGACTGGCGTCTGCAATACGCTGGTCACCAAATACCAGGTGCGTGTTAAACAGCCAGCATATGGGGGATCAAGAGACCTCATCACTGTCCATTTCCCTTTGTTTGCTGCTGCCTTTGTTGTTGTCGATTTTCTTTTTCTTGCATGACCTAACAGCCGTTACAGGACAAGCAATGCGTTCGCAACTGTGATGACGAGGATCCCGCCCATCGAATGTACTTCAACCAACCCGTGATTCAGACCGCACAGATGTTTGTCGGCGAAATGGGCTGCTGGCTGGTGGTTGCTCTCACGGCAGCGTATCGCCGCGTCGCATCAAAGCGATCTCCCGCCGAGAATGGCTACCAAACCATCGGCTCCAGCCAGCCCAATGGCGCTGACGACGAGACCCCTGAAGAAGACCAGCCATCCGTGCTGCGCGGCTATCGAATCTTGCTTCTGGCCCTGCCAGCCATCTGCGACATCTGCGGCACTACCCTGATGAACATTGGTCTACTTCTTGTTGCGGCGTCCATCTACCAGATGACCCGAGGCGCACTAGTTCTCTTCGTGGGTCTGTTTAGCGTAATATTCCTGCGGAGGACGCTGCATCTATTCCAGTGGATCTCCTTGGTGGGCGTGGTCCTGGGCGTGGCCGTTGTTGGACTTGCAGGTGCCATCTGGCCCGACGTCAAGGCAAACCTCATCTCCAGAGGCCTGTCTGTCATCACGGACTCTCCCGATGGACTATCCGATGTTTCCAAGGCCGTGATTGGCGTTACGCTGATTGCGGGAGCCCAAATCTTCACTGCCACCCAATTTGTCTTGGAGGAGTATTTGCTCGAGCGCTCTCCCATCGATCCCCTCCGGGTCGTTGGCTGGGAGGGCATCTTTGGCTTCGTCGTCACTGTCGTGGTTATGCTTGTTCTGCACTTGGCCATTGGTCGGACTGAGGCTGGCCGCTATGGCTACTTTGATGCCGCTGAGGGACTCCGTCAAATGTGCAATGACAGGGCACTGCTCATCTCCAGTGTCATAATCATGATTAGCATTGGGTAAGTTATTTCGTCTATTGAGAAAGCCTCCCGGTGTAATTAACCATCTTTATCCTTCTAGTGGCTTCAACTTTTTCGGATTGTCCGTCACTCGCACCGTCAGCGCGACCTCTCGGTCTACCATTGACACTTGCAGGACACTCTTTATCTGGGTAGTTTCTCTTGGTCTGAGATGGGAGTCATTCAAGTGGCTACAGATTGTTGGATTCGCGCTGTTGGTGTACTCGACATTTTTGTTCAACGGCATCGTCCAACCACCTCTTGAGTTCTTGCGAGTTGATGAAGAAACCGAGGAACTTCTCCCCGAGGAGCCAATTGAACACCAGTAAATTGCTAGACACGCTTCCGGCGACCTTTGCATATCCTACTCTAACCAAGGTCGATCTTTTTTTGATTTTCGTTTAATCTTTGGTCTTTGGTCTTTGGTCAAGTCTGATGGGATTCGGGCGTACTGGTGGGTGCCTGGCTAGCTTGGGATAATTTTCATTCAACATACAACATTACACATTACATGTAGGCAATTTGAAATGGGAGTGCAAGTAATAATTCACGCTTTATCTAAATTTGACCCGTTGACCATCACTCCAACCATAAAAAAGGAAAGAAAAGAAATGCCTCTCTCTGGAATTAGCTGCTACTCAACACCTCAAAAACAAATTACCAAATCCCAAGAAAATTCACGCAAGGTAAAATAAAAGTGCAGGCCCGGTTAAGCAACATTACATAGCAGTTCGGCTTCGAGGATGAACTTGCCCTCCTTGTACTTTTCAGACGTCTCAAAAGCCTTGTCGTATTTCCAACCCACCGTTTCCTTGCACTGGTGGCAAGCAATATCACGGACAATGTGTCGACCAGTAGTCATGTTTCGCTCATTGGGATCGCCGGTGTCGATGTTGACGACTCGATGGAACAGGTACGCTTTGCCATGCTGGCCGCGGAAGTTCTGATGATCCTGTTAGATCTGATTTAAGCCATGAGGAGAGGCAAGATACGCACCCGAGAGATGATGTCCTCGTGGTTAGCTAAGTGAGCCTTGCATGTCTTGCAACCATAGATCTTGTTGCTGGTGAGATATGTATTATAAGCCAGGCCCATCGCTGCTGAGCTCCAGAGCAAAAGGACAAGAAAGAGCGAGAGTTTCTCTCTCTACGAACTGCACCGATTCCCGCACAAACTGAGGGACAACGTGATTTGCTAGCAGCGCACGGTTCTGGAGAAGGGATTTTGTAGATTTTGTAGAGTTGGAACCGTCACTCTCCCTCTCTCTCTCGTCTCTCTCAGCGCTCGGGCGGCGGGTTTAGCGGCGTGTGGGGTTAGTTGCAGAGGATCAAGGCAGCCGGCTGGTGCCTAGCAAGGAGGTTTTCTTTGCAAATGCGGAAGTGAGCGAGCTTGGTATAAAGAGTGATAGTAGCAGTACTTGGCCGATATGGAGCGCATCTGGAATGCTCCGTCATACGGGCGGCGGAAGTCACAGGATCAAGAGGCTGGACGAAGACGGATGCGTTGCGTGCGCCCCGCCGAGGTTTTGCCCGGGTGGCTGGCGGACTGACGTCTGTGTGTATGTCATCCATCACATGTCAGGAGAAGCGCTAGCAGCTGGAGCTCTGAGATGGCCATATACATGTAAAGGAAGAATAAATCATAAGCATTAGCAGGCGTCTACTTGTATGAATTAAATATCATACCTTTCAAGCGTAGTAAATACTAAATGCAACACCCATAGGTAATGGAGACACGGGCGATGGCCTGTGTATGCCGCTTCAGGCCTTATTTATATTATTTCTAGCGTCTCGTATTGGCACGCGCCATTTCCTCAAGCCCATCATGAGAATCCCTTGGCCAGAGACCAGAAACTGTCCATTTTGGCGCGGGCCAAGACCTCTCTCGCCTCAGCATCCGTTTCACAAATCTTGCTGCCCCATTTCTTGAAATTCCTCGCCTTTTGCTCGCCCTCAAATATCAACTTGCACTCGTTCAGAGACATGTCCTTCAAATCTCCGTTGGAGTCTTCGGGCGACAACCACTCCTGTCCGCCTTTGTTATTCTTCTCGGGGTCTCTTGCTTGCGCGTTTTCCGTCCACTTGATGCGGTTCAGCATGAGCTTCTTGTACTTGTTTATGCTGTACGGTCCTCCTTCGACAATCACGAGGCTGAACTTTGGATGCATAACGCATGTTCCCGAGAGCGCCAGCTGTTCGGCGTTGCGCCATATCTTGTAGCGGTGCTGGCCATTCGCAAGGCTTGTGACTTTGAATACGAGAACGTGGATGCCCTTGTTGGCATCCTTTTGTTGGTTTGCAGCAGTCTTATCATGCTGTTGCTCCTTTGTCAATTTGCGGGACTCGTTCGCGTCAATGTGCTTCTCGTATCGATCGGCAATCTCTCGGTTCACCCGTGCCTCGACGGCGGTGGGATCTTTGACAGCAGCTGTGATGGACACGGTCAGTATAATTGTACAATTTCAGAGTAACGGGGATATCGTTAAACATACCATCACCCAACACGCGCATGAGATTTCCCTTTTTGACCTTGGGTGGCGGTGCCGGCACCAGTCCAAGCCGGATTTTCGCCTGCATCTCCTTGAGCTCTGCCATTCTCCTTTGTCGCCGTATTTTTGCTTGTTCTTTCGAGGTCAAATACATTGGCTTCGCCGGTGCGCCAAGTCGGTCCTGATAGGGCTCGAGTGCAACTGGATGTTGGATGTATTCCGTTACAATGCTATCGTCCGCGTGAATCTTCAGCTTCGAAGGGTCGTCGACATCGTCGTAAGTTGATCCATTAACCAAGCCTTCGTCCCACCACTCCAGATTCGGAGGAGCGTCCACGACAAAGTTCTTCTCCACGTCAAGATCCTCATCAATGCCAGCTCTACGAGTCTGCTCCGCGATACGCTTCTTCATGGCCTCCAAGGCCGCCTGCCGACGCAAGGCATTTCCCTGCTGGATATATTTTCCCTTTTGATTAAACATCAGCTGACGAGGCACGCGCTGTCTCCCGCTCGGCTCCTGTGTAGCAGACTTGTCGTCGAAATATGGGTTCGGCTGGTTCCTCTGTCCAAACGTGTCCGGTGAGCCTCTCTTATCGTATGCGCCGGGCCGAGATGGACTGCCTCGTAATGACTGAGATTGGCCATTTGTCGTGTCTGCTTTGCCGGCCGGCTTCCAGGACCCCAGATCTTCCAACGCAGGATGCAGTCCGACATTCAATCCTCCTTTCGCTTTGCTCGTGCCAATGGCGGCTGCGACGCGGGCCTTGAGCGCCGCCATTCTATCTGCCGCAGACTCTGTCTTCTGTATCCTGGAGGCGCCATCGTGCTGAGGACCCAGGCCCCCTGGCTGTGAATGTTGACTCATTGAGGACGGGAGCTGCTCCTGCGCGCAGCAGGACTATCTATGGTGGTGATCTCGAACAAGAACAGCTGCGTTTTTCTCTATCGTAAAATCATAAATCGTACTCTGTAGGTGATTTCGACGGGAAATGGCAGGGCGAGGCTTTGCAGGCAAATGAAACGTGGAAGGTGACGCTGTGAAAGGGACAGAGATTTATTTGCTGGTGCCAGGCGCAGTATCTTGCTTGTAGCTCTCGCAGTAAGGCGCCGACGCTGCATTAGTCCCGTAGCCTCGCTGTGGGGAGTCCATCCATCCAACTTCCTACCCACCACCCACACTAAAAATTTTGCCCGGTTCCACCGCCAAAAAATTCTAGTGGTACCGGCAACTCTCACCAATTGACCTGCAAAAAGATTGGCATGGCTTCAGCAAGCTCGCCAGGATCAGCCCGTTGCTCAGCCAAGATCCTCAACTCGCCATGAATATTGCGCAGCCCGTCGCCTCGGAGGTGGAGAGCGTGGAGTTTACCTTCCTCTCCGCCAAAGAGATCCAGGCCATCTCGGTGAAGCGCATCGAGAATGAAAGCACTTTCGACAACCTCTTGAATCCAGTGCCCGGAGGCCTGTACGATCCGGCGTTGGGATCATGGGGCGATGCACCGTAAGTGAGAGGTCTTTTCTTTTGTCTTCTTTGGTTATCGCCATAATCAAAGCTTCTAATTGCTCGCTAGATGTTCTACTTGCAACCTGAATCAGTCCAATTGTCCGGGACATCCAGGCCACATTCAACTCCCAGTCCCCGTCTACCACCCAGTCTTCATGGACCAGGCCTATCGACTGCTCCGTGCAACCTGCGTTTACTGCAAAGGCTTCCGTCTGCCTCCCAAGGATCTACACAAATACACCTGCCAATTGCGCCTGCTTCACCATGGCCTCATCCGCGAAGCACACATGGTGGCTACGATTGGAGAGAACGAGCTGGCAGTAGAAATCCAGGAGGCGTTGGGAGAGGGCCCCAGCGAGGCTGAGGAGGAGGAATCCAGCATCGACAGCGTCACCCGACAAAGAGAAAAATTCGTTCGCAAGTGTCTTCAGGGCATCAAGCTGAAGAGGGGCGAGGCCAAGCGAGGCAAGCATGAAGGCGCATATGAAATGCGCCGCGAAGTCATCAAGGATTTCCTTACCGAGATTATCAAGAAGAGAGTATGCTCTAGCTGTGGCGGAATTTCCCCGACGTACCGAAAGGACCGATTTGTCAAAGTTTTCGAAAAGGCCCTCTCCGCGAAAGAAAAGGCAAAGATGGCACAAAAGGCACTAAAATTCGGTGATGCCATGACCAGAGTCCATAATCGCCCGGCATCCAAGAAATCCAAGGGCGGCGAAAACGGTGTTGTTCGGATCAATGGCTCAGAGGTATCTCCTCCTGGGAGCCAAGATATCGAAATGGCAGACGCAGATGACGACGATGATGCCGGTGCTGGAGAGGATTCGCAAAGATACATCAGCTCAATGGAGGTAAAAGCACGGCTAGAGGAACTATTCCACAAGGAGCAAGATTTGCTGTCACTCGTGTACAACGCCAAGCCTCCTACACAGAGCTCATCAAAGGTTACTCCCGATATGTTCTTTATCAAAGTGATTCTGGTGCCGCCGAACCGTTTCCGACCAGAGGCCCGAACGGGAGATTCACAAATCTCCGAAGCTCAGCAAAACGGACTTTATAAAAACATTCTCGCCTGCTGCTCAAGGATTGCTCACGTTTACAAGGCTCTTGAGGAGAAAAGGTCAGACATTACAAACATGCACCAGGCTTGGACAGAGCTTCAAGATGCAGTCAACTCATTGATCGACAAAAACAAGAATCCTGTGCAGGGAGCAGCTGCGGCGCGGAACGAGGAAGGAATCAAGCAGCTGCTTGAGAAGAAGGAGGGTCTTTTCCGTAAGAACATGATGGGAAAGCGAGTCAACTACGCCGCCCGAAGTGTCATTTCACCAGATCCAAACATCGAAACCAACGAAATCGGTGTTCCTCCCGTATTTGCCAAGAAGCTGACCTATCCCGAGCCCGTGACGAGCCACAACTTCAAGGACATGCAGCAAGCTGTCATCAATGGCGTGGACAAGTGGCCGGGCGCTTTCGCCATTGAGAATGAAAACGGTCAGATTGTGAACCTTCGCAACAAGTCGGTGGACGATCGAATTTCTCTCGCCAACCAGCTCCTGGCGCCGACAAACAGCAGCGCCGCCCGCATGAAGAACAAGAAAGTCCACCGCCATCTTACCAATGGAGACGTTGTCCTGATGAACCGCCAGCCCACGCTACATAAGCCGTCCATCATGGGACACCGAGTCCGCGTGCTACCGGGCGAAAAGACTATTCGAATGCACTACGCCAACTGCAACACGTACAATGCCGATTTCGACGGAGACGAAATGAACATGCATTTCCCCCAAAACGAGGTGGCCCGTGTAGAAGCACTGCAAATTGCCGATACCGACCACCAGTACTTGTCAGGCACTGCGGGAAAGCCCCTGAGAGGTCTGATTCAAGATCACATTTCAGTGTCCGTCTCGCTTTGCAACCGAGACACCTTCTTCACCCGCAGCGACTACCAGCAGCTAGTATACAGCGCCCTTCGGCCAGAAAGCGGCCATATCCTGGGAGAGCGACTCCAGCTTGTACCACCCGCCGTCATCAAGCCGGTGCCAAGATGGACAGGAAAGCAGGTCATCAGCACAATTCTGGCAAACATGCGGCCACCCAACTGCGGCGGACTGACCATGAGCGAAAACACCCAACTCAAGGCGGAGCAATGGGGCAAAAACTCAGAGGAAGGAACTGTGCTTATCCAGGACGGCGAATTCATAACGGGAATTCTCGACAAGTCTCAGATCGGACCCAGCTCGAGCGGTTTGATCCACGCCGTGCACGAGATATACGGACCGTCCGTTGCCGGCAAACTGCTCAGCAGCTTGGGCCGTCTGCTCACAAGATACCTCGGCATGAGAGCCTTTTCATGCGGAATGGACGACTTGAGGCTAACGGCAGAGGGAGAGGCGGCACGACGACGGGAGCTTGTTGCGGCCGACCATCTAGGACTGGGCATTGCCGCCAACTACGTCTCTCTAGAGAACCAGCAAGATGCGCTGAATCCGCTCCTATTAGAGCGTCTGGAGGAGGTTGCGCGCGACGACAGCAAACAGGAGGGTCTCGATCTCTTGATGAACCAGGGAACAAAGGACATTACAGATGCCGTGCAAAAGGCGCTCATTCCCAACGGCCTCGAGAAGAGCTTCCCCAAGAACCAGATGCAGGCCATGACTACTTCCGGTGCTAAGGGATCTCGTGTCAACGCTTCCCTCATTTCCTGCAACCTGGGACAGCAGGTCTTGGAAGGTAGACGTGTACCGCTGATGGTGAGCGGAAAGTCGCTGCCTTGCTTCCGGCCATTTGAGACAAACATCAGAGCGGGCGGTTACATTGTGAATCGATTCTTGACTGGAATCCGGCCGCAGGAATACTATTTCCACCACATGGCAGGACGTGAGGGTTTGATTGACACAGCCGTCAAGACATCCCGCTCAGGTTATCTGCAGCGTTGTATCATCAAGGGCATGGAGGGCCTTACAGTCTCTTACGACACATCAGTGAGAGATGCGGATGGCTCACTGATCCAGTTCCTGTACGGTGAAGATGGATTGGACATAACAAAACAAAACTACCTCAAGGACTTCAAGTTTATCCTGCAGAACGTGACTTCGGAGGCGGCACAGCTCAAGTACGACCCCAAGGTGGGCGAGCGCCTTGGTGCCAACCGCCAGGCGTTCCAGAAATACATGAAGAACGCCGTCAAGCACGCCAAGGCCAAGGATCCGAATGGCAAGGACCCTCTGACAGCCAGCTTCGATCCGGCCACCAATGCATTTGCCACGTCGGAAACATTTTACGAGGCCATGACAGAGTACCTAAAGGAAAACCCCGATGGGCTGGTGCGAGAAAAGAAGAGCCAAGACAAGGCCGTCTCCAATCCCAACCAGGTGACGCTGAACAAGAAGAATGCAGAGATGCTTTTCGCCATGAAGTATCTGCGGTCGTTGGTCGAGCCTGGAGAGGCCGTCGGCATTGTTGCCGGCCAGTCTATTGGTGAGCCGTCTACACAGATGACGCTGAACACTTTCCATTTGGCCGGTCACTCAGCCAAGAACGTGACGCTGGGTATCCCTCGTCTGAGAGAAATCCTGATGACTGCCAGTAAGACGATTTCAACGCCGGCAATGACACTATACCCCATTGCCGAGCTGTCAGAGCAGGATATCGAGGTCTTCTCCAAGTCTATCAGTGTGCTACGCCTGAGCCAGGTGCTGGACGGTGTCGTGGTTGAGGAAATGGTCGGCAAGGGCAAACTCCGCGGCCTTGCCAAGATTTACAAGATCAATCTCAAGTTCTTCCCGGCATCAGAGTACTCGGCCACCTATGCAGTCAGCGTCTCGGACATAATGACCACGGTGGAGAAGAAGCTTTTGCGCAACATCCTGGCAATCATGAAGAGGGAGGTCAAGAAGCGCCAGACGCAGACAACAACGGGAACTCCCGAAATTGGCGTCAAGGTGGGCACTGTCGAGACAGCCCGAGCTGAAGGAGCGCCGGATGGTGCTGCAGGCGAGGACGACGACGATGATGATGATGACGACGACAACGACGCTGCCGGGGCGAAGCGACGAGCCAACCGAGGCCAGGCCGTCTCCTATGGACCCAATGACGACGACGATGACGCTATCCAGAAGGACATGTCACGAGGGGCGGAGGACGACTCAGACGACGAAGGTGCCGACACCGCCGCTGGCTCAAACGGCGTGGATAAGGAGCTCGGCGACGAGGACGGCGACGAGGACGGCACGATGTGGTCGTCGAGGGCGCGAAAGGAGCGGGTGCTCAAG